CTGCGTGGCCTCACGGGCGCCGCGGTCGGTCGCGCCTCCCCCCCCCACGAAGGCTCGGGGGCCGCTGGGGAGCAACGCGCAGTTTTTGGATCCAGGTACGGTCGAAATTCGTGGGCAAAAATCATATTGTATCCGCGGCTTCTCGGGGCTGCGCGCAGGGCCGCGACCTCATGGATACGGGGCGTTTTTCGCAGACGCCCCGCGTGGAACGTAGCCGTGCGTCCGCGTATGCGCAGGATCGCGCCCCCGAATCCAGACCGCGAGGGCGCGGACACGGATATTTTCGCCGCTCGTGAGAATCGTTATGGAAATCATAGGTATGAAGACCGACAACATATCCGGTTCTTGTTGGACTGGACTCGTTGTCGGTGTTGCCGCGGACGGTGTCCATTTGAGACAGCATGCCGCCTGCCCAACAGCGACCGCTGTGGGTTTCAGAGAATACTTGTTGTTGGGCATTGTAATCTTTTTGTCGGTCGCCCCTGTGCTTTCCGCAGCCTGCGCCTTGTCAAGGGCGTTCGCATGGTGCCCAGATCGTCCCCCACGTCCGCTGGGGACCCGAGCTTTGGCCCGAAAGCCAGACGACCCATGAAGCAAGCGGATCCTGAGGGAAGCGGACCCCCAGGCTTTTGGCTGCTCAGGGCCGCCCTGGCCTTCCAGGGCCTGCTGAGGCCAGCTGGGACTACCCTCGGCGGCGAGCGAGGAGGGGAAATGAGAAGGAGAAGGCCTTCTCAGAAGGCGGCGGGACTTCTCAGACGCCCTCGCGCCTTCCGAACAGTTTTCTGTGTCTTCGGAGATGGCCGGGGGACTTCCGAGCCTTCTGAGAAGGCCCGCCCCTTCTCATTTCCCCCCCGAGCTCGCCGCCGATACCCGGGGGCCACCTGCACCGTCTGGGAGCCCCGGGGCATCTTGGGCCGGGATCATCCCGGGTAGTCCCCCGAGAGAGTCGGAGCGCGGCAGCGGCCGATTCGAGCCTGTTTAGGCGGCCTTTTTCAGCGGGCTGGCCTTTGCGTGGGGTTGTCTTCGGAGCCCTCTGGCCCGTTGCGGTGGCCGACCGACCGCGGCACGAGCGGGGGTCCGACCAGGACAGCGCGTTCCCTTTCCTATTGCGGCCGGCTGCTGGGGAATGCTCCCCGAGGCGTCAAAGGGGGATCGCCGCTCGATGAGCGGCTGTGGGCAGTTGGGAGTCAGCTGAGAGGCTGGGGTGGCCCAGAACTGGGTTTGGCCAGCAGAAAAGGCGGGAGAGAGGGGCCCTCTCGTCGCCACGGCTGGGCGCGGCTGGGAATATTTGTCAGATTCGACCCTGGGAGGGGTCTGGGGATTCTTGGGCTTACGCCGCACCGCCGATCCCTTGGGGGGCTCCTGGTAGGTCTCTCGGGGGCCTCCTGGCAGCACTTTTGAGGCCTTTTGAGGGCCGTTTTGGGGCTTCTTGGGGCCTCTTTTGGGCTTCTGGTGGGCCTCTTGGCGCCTCTTGGGGGCTTCTTGGGGGCCTCTTAGGGCCTCCTGGAGGCTTCTTGGGGCCGAGGGCTCGAACTTTCCGTTCCGGTCCCCTGCCTGGGCCCCCTCATGGAGCCGTCTTGGGGGCCTCTTGGGCCGTCTTGGGGCCCTCTTGCGCCGTCTTGGAGCCTTCTTGGGGGCTTCCTGGGCCGTCTCGGGGCGATCTTGGAGGCCTCTTGGGCCGTCTTGGACGTTGTGAAAGTCCAACTAAGAGGCGAATGTGCTAAGATCACACGTTTCCCAAAGGAAATGAAGCGGTTTTTGCTTCTGGGGGCCCTCTTGGGACGCTTCTTGGGGGCCTCTTGGGGCGTCTCGGGGGCCTCTTGGGCCGTCTGGGGGCCACCTGAGGCGTCTTGGAACGATCCATCGGCGACTCGGGGCCCTCTTGGACCATCTTGTGGGCCTCTTGGAGCCCTCATGGTCCGTCGTGAGGCCCGTGACGCGTCAAAGGCTCCGAGCAGCATGCAGCACGCAGGCCTTCGTCCCTCCCTTTCCCGATGGCAGCGGACTTCACTGGGGGGGGGGGCTGGGGCGTGCTGACGGAGCGGGGCAGCGGTTATAAAGCGGTTTGCCGTTTAGCCCCCGTGCGCGCGGAGATGGTGCTTGGTGCGTAGGCCTCCGTCGTCGCATCCTCCTTCTCCCCGACGTGTTGCGATATAGTGCCTCAAAGCGTGCTTCGATCTCAAAGCGATTCTCGCTCGATGTGCCACTCCGTCTACGTACGGTGCGGTGCTTAAGCTTGGGTGTCTGCACGAGTCTCTCACTCACTCCGCGATTTCGTCACGGGGTTCAGCAGCAGGGCTACAAGGCGAGGCCAGTTAACATGGGACAACACATGCAGCTGTCGCGTGCTTCTCCCCCCCCGTCTCTCTGCCCTATCCTCCGCTCCCCCTCATCCTCCTCCTCCGCCGCCTTCTCTCTCTCTCTTTTTCCACTCCGCTTGCTGCTCACTCCGTGCGCCCTTCATCCTTCTCCGCTGTTGTCTCGTTTGAGCGTCTTCTTTATCGCACGACTACACGGCATACATAAAGGGAGTATTTGCTACGCCGACCTCGCAACCTGATGCAGTAGACCTCGCAGCTTGATGCGATTGTCCCTGCGTGCGAGAAGGATCTCAAGCAGGATGAGCAGGATGAGAAGGCAGAGCAGGATGGGAAGGGGGAGGAGGAGGGGAGGAGGTAGAATAAGAGGGGGATTACCCCAGAGGGACACGACGACAACCTCGAGCATGATGATTGATGGCGATGCTGCTGCTGCTACTTATGATGCTCATTATGATGATGATGCTGCTGATGATGATGTTGATGTTGTTGTTGATGCTGATAATGCTGATGATGCTGATGATGGTGATGATGGTGGTGGTGATGACGATGCTGAATATGATGTTGATGTTGATATGGATGCCGATGATGGTGATGATGATGATGATGATGATGATGATGATGATGATGATGATGTTGATGGTGATGATGATGGTGCTGTTATTGGTGATGCTAATGATGTTGATGATGCTTCCGGCAATCATGGTGGTGCTGATGGTAAGGTTGTTGGTGATCATGATGATGATGACGACCATGATTGATGATGCTGCTGCTGATGATGATGGTGATGCTGCTGATGATGATGATGATCATAATGCTGCTGCTGGCGATGATGATGATGATGATGCTGATGCTGACGATGATTCTGTTGCTGCTGATGATGATTGTGATGCGGATGATTCTGATGATGCTGATGATGACGGTGATGGCGATGCTGTTGCTGATGCTGATATTCTGATGATGATGATGATGATGGTGGTGGTGGTGGTGATTATCATGATGCTGCTGCTGATGATGATGGTGATTGTGGTGGTGATGATGATGCTGCTGCTGATGATGGTGGTGTTGGTGATGATGATGATGATGATGATACTGATGCTGATGTTGTTGATGATGCTGATGCTGATGCTGATGCTGATGGTGGTGGTGGTGATGATGCTGATGATGCTGATGATGATGATGATGATGATGATGATGATGATGATGATGATGCTGATGCTGATGCTGATGCTGATGATGATGATGATGATGATGATGATGATGATGATGATGATGATGATGATGATGATCGGGGAGGAGGATCCAGGGTAAACGACATGATAACCAGTGGTTTCGGGTTCCTTGGTCAGATTCGTTGAAACATCGGCGCCCCAAAGGATTTCCGACCTGCCGCAGAACTTTTTCTGCTCCTTCTTCCCAGAACTGGGAGTGGAACGACACACGCTGATGGCCCACTTTGCTCGCTGTGCCTCTGAACGTGGCGCTGACGTGGCCGTCGTGGTAGGCGCAGAGCACATTGACCAAGTGGCTGCTCGCATCCAGAGCGAGGCGGGCTTGGATGTCGATGAGCTTCTGGAACTTCCACCAGAGGAGGCCGTCGAGGAAGGCAGTGGTGCATGGGAGCAGGAGCTCACGCGCCCTTCAATTTTTGCGCCGTGTTCTCATGCCGCTTGCCATGCAAAGGCTTGGGGTCGAGGGTCATCGAGTGCTACATCCCAGTGACCTGCCACTGTTTCCTCGCTGATTTTTTCACGTGCAACGGGGTATCCAGAATCAGAATCATATCGCCCGTGTGCACTTCGATTGTATTTCGATTGCAAGCCCTTCCTTGTGGATCTGCAGCTATCGGGAAGGTGCGCGACCGCAGCTATCAGGAAGATGATCAAGAGACGCATGATAAAGGGGCCCGATGAGAGGAAGCAGGAGGAGGTCGACACTGCCTTCAGCGGCAGGCGCCAGCAGGACTAGAAGGGGTGCGGCAGGAAAAGGGAAGGGGGGGAGGATCGGTGGAATCAGGGGTGAGAACTTTCAGGAGGATGCGGAGGAGGAAGAGGAGGGAGTGGCCGTTGAAGGGGGGAGGGCGAGGAGCAGTGGGAGAAGGTCCACGGGTGACCAGCAATGGGATCGGACGATCGCGCCGACTCGCCGATGCATCGGCGACGCGGCTCGACGTGGAGCCCCATGTTGTCCACGCCGACGGCGCAGACGCATCGCCGATGCATCACCGATGCGTCGCCGATGCATCGCCGGTGCATCGCCGATGGGGCGTGTTTCGGGAGACTCTTCATGGGGGGGATCCCATGGGGGGATCGGATCCCAGGGGGGGGATCCCATAGGATCCCCTGGGGATCCCATGGAGAGTCTCCCGAGTGTTAGGAGGAGCGTTCTGGGCCGCCCCGTGTTCGAGCGAGGACCTCGTCGGGGCGCGCCAGGGAGTCGCGGTCGCGCGGCGGGCGATCGTCGCCAGGCTCGGGGGCGGCAGGAGCGCCAGCGGGCGGGATCGCCCGCTTCGGTTCCCGTTGTTGGGCGAGGCAAGCTATCAGTTCTTCGACGGGCAGCGGGACGTCCCATGCCTGCAGCTGGGGCCCGCGCCGCCGCGGCGGCGAGGTGCGGGGCCCGGGTCGTCGGCGCCAAGTTCGCGTGGCTCGATGGCCCCGTCGCCGTCGACGCCCTGGCGCAGGAATCTTTCAAAAACCTCGAGGTGGATACTCCAGATTTCGTAATAAAAGGGAGGGGGTCTGGACCCTCCAAGACAAGCCATTTCAGACCCCCCCCGTGGGAGAACCCTCCAAAACATCGTCCCCAGACCCCCCCAGGCCCTCCAAGATAGCCTGGAAGAGACCCCCCCCGAAATGAGACCCCCCTCCCTTTAATTACGAAATCTGGAGTAAGCTCCATCGTAGTGCCTGCCGTCTGCCTGTCTCAAGACGCCAGTTCGCCCGCCTCCGCATATCACATGTCTCGGTGGCGCTGCGGTCGGCGAGATGCCCGCAGACGTGGCCTGCCTGAAGGTCTCGCCGGCGTTCCTGGCGCGGCTTACCGAAAGCTGTGCGGAGGACGAGTTGATCGAGTTTTTCGATTCAGCGCCGCGCAGCCAGACCTGCTCGAGCTGGCCGACCTTGCCCCGCAGCCCGATGATAGGAATATCGGGATCCTGCTCCGACCCGTCGCGTTCCCCGACCCCGACCCCCGGGGGCGGCCTGGGGCGCGTCGGCTTCCAGCTCTGTCGACGGGCAGATCGACGGGGGGAGGTGCTCCGCCGCCGACGAGCACGAGGGCGGGGGCATGGGAGACGACGAGGTCGACGCAGCTGGCGAGGCTGCCGCGCAGGGGCGGGCAGGTCGGCCGCGTGGCGCCTACGTGGAGGGCAGCCCGGGCGCAGACAGAAGGAGAGTGGCTCGTGGCGGGTCTGGGAGGCCCGTGGCCCTACCCGCCAGGCGCCCTGGGCCACGCTGCCGCTTGCCGCGCCCGCGGCAGGGCCCGCGCCAGCCGCCCACCCCGCGGAAGGCGGCCGCGCGGGGCGCGCGGCGAGGCAGGGGCCTGCCGCGAGCACTGCCAAGAGAGCCGCAACCCCGCGGCGCGCCGACGTGTCGCGCGACGATCTGCACAGCGTCTTTGGGAGCTTCAAGCGCGACCTGCTGGACGCCATCGGCGGCCAACTGAAGGGCCCCTCGATCCGAATCGAGCAGGTCGAGGAGACGAGCGCGTGCAGGCCCGTGGCCTCTCTTCCGCGGCCCCCCCCCCGCCGCTGCGGGGTCGCTCCTGATCTGGGCGGGGCCCTCGGCGAGCGCTCTGGCGCCCGCCCCCTTTGGCCCGGTCAGGCCCCCCTTCCAGAGCTCGCCCGCGGCGCCGCCCGGGGCAGCCGCTCAGCTCCTGGGGGCGCGGCCCGCCCCCGCGCCTTCCCGGTCCAGGGCGGCGGAGGAGGCCCTGGTTGCGGCGTTCTTGGGACCTCCCACACGACAATTCCAGGCCTAACACCTACCGATGCCCCCCGCTGCGCCCCGGCCACGCCCCGGCACCCCCGCCCCACGCGAGCTCAGTTCTTGGGGCCCCCCACGCGACAACTGCGAGCCCGAAGCCTGCCGATGCCCCCCACCGCGCCCCCACCACTCCAGGCATCCCCCACCCCACGCGAGTCGCTTTTCGGACCCCCCCACGCGACCATTTCTGGCCCGAACCCTGATACCCCCAGCCGCGCCACGGCCACGTCCCGGCACCCCCCCACTCCACGCGAGCTCAGTTCTGGGTCCCCACACGACAATTTTTAACCCGAAACCTACCGATACCCCCCACAGCGCCCCCACCACGTCCCGGCACTCCCATCCCACGTGAGCCCAGTTCTTGGGTCCCCACGCGACAATTTCTAGCCCGACACCTACCGATACCCCCCACCGCGCCCCCGCCACGTCCCAGCACCCCCGCCCCACGCGAGCTCAGTTCTTGGGACCCCCCTGGCCCGAAGCTTACCGATCCCCCCCCACGCCCCCACGAGGTCCCGGCACTCCCATCCCACGCGAGCTCCGCTCTTGCGACCTCCCACACGACAATTTCTAGCCAGAAACTTCCCGATACCCCCCTCCGCGTCCCCACCGCGCCCCGGCACCCCAACTCAATTCTTGGGACCCACCCCCCACGCGATAATTTCTAGCCCGAAACCTACCGATACCCCCCAACGCGCCCCCACCACGTCCCAGCACCCCCACCCCACGCGAGCCCAGTTCTTGGGACCGCCCCACACGACAATTCCAGGCCCGAGACCTACCGATACCCCCCACCGCACCCCCACCACGTCCCGGCACTCCCACCCCGCGCGAGCTCAGTTCTTGGGCCCCCCCCACGACAATTTCTAGCCCAAAGATATTTCCTTCTGCGCCCCCAGAAAATCCCCCGCCAGAAAGTATCCCAGCGAGATACCCCAGAGGCTCGCAAACAGGCCACGGTGGCCCAGAAGGCGTCAAAACTGTCCAAGACAGCCCCAAACGGCCAACTATCCCTGCCTAGACAGCCCCAGCAGGTCTCCAGAAACCGCAAGAGGACTCGACGATGCCCCCACCAACTTGTTCCTCCACCTGCTCGTCCTGCCCCGCCCCCTCCTCAACCTCTTCTTCCCGTATCTGATCCTTCTCCTCAGCCTCCTTCTCTCCTCCTCTCCCATTCCGCTCTCCTCGTCCTCCTCCTCGACTGCGCTGCATTGGCCACGAACGCGCAGCGGTTCCCCAGCGAGCGTACCACATGGGCCAGCGCAGCCTCCACCCTTGCGAACTCGACGTGTCGCAGCTACTTCACCTTATGTCTCTTCGCCACCGACTCCCAACTCCTCTCGGCGACCTCGTCCATCCTGCTCTCTTCATGCGCGGAGCACTCGTTGCGCCTTTGCTTCCCATTTGACTTCTTCGTCGCCCGCTCGGCCAACCAGCGGCTGAATTTCACTTTCGGCAGAACGCCCTTGCAGGCTATGCGTTTCCAGCATCCTTCGCTGCACCTTCGCTCCCTTCGACGCAGCGCTTGCACTTTCGGTCGCGATCAGCCGCGTTGGCCCACGTGCGGTCCGAAAAGCACTCACGCCCCTGCTCCACTTCGCACGCCGCGCAAATCTTCGGGCGGCCAACTGCAGCGTCGACGCTTGCACTTGCGGTCGCGATCAGCCACGTCGCTCCACATTCGGTCCGAAACGCATTCACGCCGCTGAGCCCCCCCCCCCCCCCCACACACAACGCATACTTTCGCATTTTTCGTCGCTGCCGTGCCCCGTTCTGCAGCTGCAGCGCCCGCGCACTTGGCACGCGCAATCGACGCTTGGCTGCGTGGTCGAGCTGATGGGTGGAAAATTCGCGCTGACTTTTCGACGCGCCACATTTCGAGCAAACTACCCGTTGTGCTTCCTGGGCACGTTATTTTCTCCTCCTCTCTCACTGCCTTCTTGCTCGTCGTGCATGCCCGCTTTTCGTTGTGGCGGTCCGACTTCTGAAACTTGTTCGTCAGCCGATCTTCTCCGCAACGGGAACACTTCGAGTGCTTCTTCAGCTCGTCGCACTCGACGCACATCCCTCCTTGACATCGGTAATTCCCTGCCCGCTCCCATAGATACGGGGTGAACGCACCTTCGTACCTCCGAATCTCGCAAGCGAAACATTGCCTTCGCCCGGGGGAGTCCACGCAGCGCCGCGACGTCAGCTTCGAGCTGCGGTGCTGGGACGCGTGGAAGGCTCCTTGTCCTTTTCCAGAGATCGCGCTCCACGCATTGCCACGGCGTGCCCCACCTCTTCTTCTTCTTCTTCTTCTTCTCCAGGCACAGGTTTCGCACCCGAAGACCATCAGCGCGACTCCATTGCCCAGGCGGGTACTAGTTCTTGTACTTTGTGGAGTCACGCGCAGTGCATCTGCCTGGCGGCATCAACTTCTTCTCGATTGCGTCCCAATAGAGTGCCTCTTCACGCAATGTCCGCAGGGGCAGGTCGGGCCCCTTTCCGCTCCCCTTGCTGGCAAGGCACGAGGTCAAAGGAAAGGGATATCAGCATGTCCTCGCGGCGCTGCGCCCGCGTCAGTGCCGCGTAACTCGACAGCGTCGAAGTTCCCCCTCCAATGTTCAGATCTACGATGACGCCCTGCTTAAACGTGTGGCCCTGCGCCGCATGTGCCGTTGCGCCGAAGGCTGGGGCCAGCGGGAACTGCCGTCTCTTGATCTTCAGCCGCGGACGAGGGCGACCCTTGTCCACAAACAATTCTTCCTTTTGCGGTGCCACGGGGTACAAGCCAGGAGTTTTCAGACCTCCCATCGTCCACCCGCAAGGAATTCGATTGCACTCCTCGTCTTCGCCTTCGTCGAACAGCACGCGCGCAACTCTCGGCGTCCCCTTCGATATTGTCTCGCCGCCGCGAGTGATTTGATCAGTCTCTCCGTCTCCATCGCAGGCCCAGGACTGCGCCTGGCCAGCGCGTCCTCGGAAGAGGTACTTATCCTCGCTCCGATCGATGTGACCTGTGAGAGCGACGGGCGTGCCTTCCGCGATAGGCAGAAAACCATGCAAGTCCCCTCTCTCCTTGTCGTGGCGCTGGAGCCACGCCATCTTTTGCGCCGGCAGATCTGGCCGCTCGCGCAACGCCTCGGCCGTGGGCGTGCCCCTTCCAGCTACGTAAACAATTGGCTTCTTGTGCCTGCGTGCATACTGGGAAGCCCAGACCTTGTTCGCTTCGTGCTTCACGTCGTTGTTTGGAAACGCACCCGGCGCAACGCGGAATTCCTCCGTCTGCAGGCGCGGGTTGTCGGGCCCATCCACCACGAGACGACGCATTGCACGTTCCGCTGCAAAAGTTGCACTCCTGCTTGCGGATCTCCTTCGGCGCCATCTGGCGCCTTTGTCGTTTACCTTCTTCCGCGCTTGCCCCTTCCCCGTGGTTGTGCCACAACTCCTCGCGCCGGCGGTTCCCACAACTGGCTCGACCGTCCAGCCAGCTTCCTGGGGCGGTCGTAGCCCGACCGTGCAAGAAAGCGTGCGAATTCGACGTCAGCGACCCTCGACGGAATTCTTCCTGTACTTCCTTCAGCCAGGCGTAATCGCATCGCTCGCACTCGTCCAGCTCAGTCACTCCCTGCACCCCGCAGTCGGGCCCACCCCGCAGTAGCGACTGGCCGTGGAGCACGGGGGGCAGAGACGTGTACTTCCGCGCCGCGGAGACTCGCTCGGTGGGCACGTCCTCGAGGAAGCCTCCATCTGGGGGCGCCAGCTGCCAGGGGTCTCCGCTGAGAACGACGTTCAAGCCCCCAAACGGTCGAGGCGCGCCATCGTCGCCGCGCTTCGCAGTGCCAGCGTCGCGGTGACCCCCCGAAGTTTGGCGTCTACTTCGGCTAGGAGTCTCGCGCTCGCCATGCTGATCTCGTAGATGAACAGCCACCTCCACTTGAGCACACGCTTCGCGGTATCGTAATGCAGCTTGACGTCTTCACCTTTTTCTTCGCCTCGTTTGATGGCGGGGATACCGCGCGCATGGTGACTGGTGTCGCCGTCCAGCAGCTGCGCCATGACTGCCTGCGTCGCGGCGATTTGAAAGTCCACCCCTGTCTTCTACTTCATAACTTTCTCAAGCAACTTGTGCCGAATGATGCGCAGCGCGCGTGGTTTCCCTGTCCCTGGGCCGCCGCGCATGGGCTGCCGCAGCGGCTCCCCCGCGTCCGCGTCTCCTCGTCCTTTCCCGTCGATCTCCTGCTGCACCCGGAGTGCGACGGCCTTGGCCATTTCAAACTGCTGCGCATTCACCACCCGTCGCCCCGTCATCAGCTTCTGAAGCCACTCCGCCACGTCCTCCGGACTGCAGCTTCTGGAGCCACTCCGCCACGTCCTCCGACGTTCCTTCCTGCTCTTGTACAGCGCCCCCACCTTCGGCCGCCGCCATTTTGCCCGCCATGGACGCCTCTTTATTCCTCGACCTTCGAGCCTCTGCGATCACCTGGTCCGCGTCGCAGCGCTCCTCCTTCGGCCAGCGGCCGAGCACCTCGCTGAGCGGCGTTTCGCCGTCGCGGAGCCCCCGTGCCTGTTGCGCTGCGGCCATGCCCCCTTTCGAGTTCTCGTAATGCGTTGTGCCTTTCCCGCCCGCCGCCGCGCCTACATCTTCCTCCTCATTGCTGCTGTCTCCATCGCCATCCTTCCGCTTCTTCCCACCCACTCGCGATCTGAGCGCCTCGTCGAGCTGCCCAAAGCCGACGTCCAACTCCTCGTCACTCACGTCTTCGTCGCTCCTCTCCCCCGCCTCGTCCGCATCCCGCGGCCGGATTCGGTGCGCGCTCAGACAGATCCCCACGTGCCGTGCCGCTTCCTTCGTTTTTGCCCCCCCCGTCCAGCCGCGCCACCACGGCAGCGCCCCGCGTGGGTGCGTCGCCGCGCAGGCTCCCTGCAAACGCTACGTTTGGGTCCGCCGCGTCGGGCCTCAGCGTCCACGGGTGGAAGTGCGACATGGCAGTGCGCGTCGAACGCTCCGTTTCTCCTGGAAGTCCGCGCGGCGCGGGCGCTCAGAAAATAGTTGGTGCCATGGGCCGCTTGTTCCGCTCCAGAACCCACGTGTGGCGAAGGTGGGCGCGCCCTTCTGTCTCTGGATGCGGCGCCCAATCCTCGCCCCCGTCTTCCTTTGCCCTATAGTCTTCTCCGGGTGCCAGGTCCTCCTCCTGTCTCTGGTGCCTTCAATTCTGGCGCATCTTGTCCTTGCCCCTTTCGGTCGAGACTTCGTGATGGCAAGGGTGCTCTGCGTCCTGGACTCTCGTCGGATGCGACGGCAACGTCGGCGTCCAGTACGATGCGGACTCGTGCGGGGACAAGTGCCACAGGTCGGGGCTCTTCGGACGGAGCCCATGCAAAATGGCAACGTCTCGAAAGGTCACTTTTCGGCGTCTCTTCTGTCGCATGTCCACTTCGGAAAACTGCGCCTTCAATGCCCCTGTCGCGCCGTCTGCGATGCGCTCCACCAAATCCACGTACTCTCGGCCGTAGAAGGCCGTGGTTGGACACGTCTTCAACGATTCCGCCGCGGTCGCGTCCTCCTCCCTCGTGTACGCCCGAAGGTTGGCTCATTCCACCAGTCCCCGTGCTATTCCCTTCCCGTACGCGTCGCTCATAATTCGATTCGCTACGCGCTTGCCCGCCCGATTCACACTTTCGCCTTCCAGCTGCCGACCGAGTTTCTCGATTTCCTTGCAACACTCTTTTACGTCGTGAAATGCCATGGGCTGCCGCTTCGTGCAGTAGTCGCGCGCGTAACCTGCCTGGGCGTCCTGCGCCATCTGCGCTACCTTGATGATGGCAGCGTCGTTGAGCCTCTTCTCGCGCGCTTTCCCGCGCGTGCAACAGGCCTCTGTGATGGGAAACCGATGCGGCAGCTGCGCGTCCGAGTTGAAGCGCTGCGCGGACAGCGCGCACGGGTGCGTCCCGTTCAGACTCATGATTCATCGGGCCGTGCAAGCTTGCAGTCCGGTTCCGACGGCCAGCTTTCGGCGTGTCCAACGCCGTCGCTAGTCCCGGACACGCCGCGACGGCCCTGCCGATGAGCTGCGCCGTCCGTGGAAAATCTGCTTGGCACAACTTCGGTTTGTCCTTCCGGCGACGCGCCGGCAAGGGGGCGCGCTCGCCAGTCTCCTCATTTTTCAGGTGCACGTGGTTGTGCTTCCTCTCCTGGAGGTATTGGACGTCTTCATCTAAGCGCGCTGACTCCCATGCCACAGCTTCGGCCGCAGCCTCCGCGCCCGTTGCTTCTGGGGCGAGCTTGCGTGTCTGGAGCGCGGGCCTGCGCAGGAGACCTACCTCGGATTTGAATTCTGGCCACGCATCTCTGCCTCCCTCAGATTCTGGGATATCTCCTCCTCCGTCAGTTGCTTCGAATACACCTGGCTACATACGCAGCCTTTGTATTCCAAATACTCTTCAACACTCCGCTTTCCCACGCCTGCTGCGTTGCCCCGCACGATGTCGAACGCCTCGTCCAGCGGCGTATGCTGGTGCAGGCGCTACGCGAAAACTTGGCAGTGCGCGTGGAGCGCACCCGTGGACTTCTGCTATTCGATTAACGCATAGCATGCGTCGACGCGTCCGAACGCGCGCCCTTCTGGAGACGCATGACTCCCGAGGAGGTCCTGTTGCACCTCGGGCACTCCGGGCGCGTGCGCAGACCGAACAGGTGACGGAGTGTCGCATCCACCGCAATGCGGAACCCGTCAACGCCAGCCATAGGGTCTCGTGCTAGCACTCTCCGGCGCGCGTTCCACGAGGGTACTCCAGCGTGCGCCGCATCAATTGGAAGGTTCATGCGCAGGTCGCCGATCTCGGGCGCCACGCGCGGCCAATCCCGACCTCCCGCGAGCCGCGACCACCCTTCGTCCTCCGCGCCATAGTGGACAGGATCGCGTCGGCGAGTGCGCGCGAGGCGAACCATGAGAAGGTTGTGGCCCTCGTTGGGGAAAAGGTCACGAAGATGGGAACGCCGTAGTGGACGCGAAGCGCGTTCGTTTCGAAGCGCATGGCCCGACGTGCCTCCTGCGTCCCTGCCAAGCGCCGCGAAGTGTGCTCTATGTGCGTCAGGAGCTTGTGGGCGGCCTTGCCCAACCCTGGCACATGCCGCACCTTTGTCATGTCCCCCTTGACTGTGTGCCTCCTGTTGTTCACGTCTACATGCTTCCCGTCCAGTGCACGGTAGATCTGTTTCGCCCCTGCTCCTATTTCTTCGGGCTTCAACTGCGAGTCCTGAGCTGCGTGAACCACGTCTTGCTCAGGTTCACGGCCGACCGGAATACAAGGTTCCACGACGAACCCAAAGTGCCAATCGCGGGAGAGCCGGCTCTCCGCGCGACGGCTCATGACGCGCACCCACAGCGGGAGCTCCACACGCGGGGCACCGCTCCCCCGCCGTTCCCGCGGACGCTTCATGAACTCTGGCAAATCTGGCATTCCCGTGCAGTACTTGAAGATAAACGCGAACGCAACCCCGAAATACCATGGCTCGAACTGATCCACCATCGCGTTGCCCGTGCGCACGCGGGGGCGATCAACGCGTTTGCGCTGGCGCATGGCATCCGCCAGCATCTCGCACTCCTCTGCTCCGCGCGAAGACGGGCCAGCGTGAACACCCTGTACCTGGCGCAAGCACGCGCGCTTCCCAGCAGGCTCTCCCTCGTCCTCACTCACCTCCCCGGCACTGGCGCTGGACGAGTCCTCCGCCCCCGCGTGCGCGCAATCCTCATCCACCCGCTGGACGAAACTTCGCAGGGCCTCGATTCGTTGAGCGTTGATGTCGCAAAGGTCGAAACTGCTCTTCTCGCCCACCACAGCGTTTCCCTTCTTGCTGTCCAGTATTTCCCCGGCCTCTTGGAGTCCGTCGGGCCTCGGCACGGGCGTCGCTGCTTTCTGCATTGGGATCTTGTCCAGTGCGTCGTCCAGCGGCATGAGGCGTATAATCTGCAATGGAACCCCTTCCTCGGGAAGTTCCAACGCCTTCTTCTTAACCTCTTCCATGCAAACGTTCCGATACGCACGGTGGCCGCGCGACTTCGCCCCTTCGATGAGGTTCACGACCACCCTTCGGCGAACGAGCGCCTGGTGCACGAACTTCGACATGCTCGCGGCCGTGTCCTCGTCGCCGCCCGATTGCAAGATCACGGACGCGATGCCTGCCAGCTCCGCGCCCGTCCAGGGAACTGACGGCGCCTTCCCCTCTATGGCAGCGTCGTCCGCTGCGTTTAACTGAGCGAGCAGGTCTGTCCACCTGCGGACGCCCCGAAAGCCCCCGCACCCGCAGCGTACGCATGGAGCCACTTCTTAGCGCGACACGCCGCGAAAACTACAGCTGGGGCCCACGAGGCCCCCGCGAGAAACCCAAGCCCATCTTTAGGGTCGGCGGCAGAGGCGGCAGCCTTTAGACAGCATGACTTAAGAAGGCGAGCGAACAAAACAAGAGAGAAAGATATATAGAGAGAGAGGTAAAGAGAGAGAGAGAGAGAGAGAGAGAGAGAGAGAGAAAGAGAGAGAGAGAGAGAGAAAGAGAGAGAGAAAGAGACACAGAGAGAGAGAGAGAGAGACACAGAGAGAGAGAGAGAGAGAGAGAGAGCGGACAAGTAGGCGGACCAGGGTCCGTCCGCGAGGCGCACTGCAGTGCGACAACTCGCAAAACACTATTAGCGGCGGTGCAGCCTTAAGATACGAGGGCGGGCGACAGGCCCCCTCCCCCGGCGCAATGCGTCTGAAGTAAAAGACGGCGGACAGACCGTGAAGATCTCACCTGTCAGACCGCGTGAAGAAGAAGGCCCCAACGTAAGTGGCGACGTGAAGAACGTGGCTAAGGCGGCTTGGCGGACCGCCGGTTGGGCGCTTGGCCGCTGCGCGGCGCGCAGAGACGGGGCACCCCCCGCCCCCGCGCCCAGGCCCCGTGGACGCGGTGCCTCGCGGGCGCACGGGCTGGCGAAAAAAGAAAAGGTGCACCAGCTGGGAGCCGTATGGCCCAGCACAGTGCGCACAGGCCGAGAACCCCAACAGGAGCGGCAAAAGCTAGCCGACAGCACAGCGGCACCAGCCGCTGCCAGCTAACCTTTAGCCCCCATTGGCGGACCTCGAGGGTGACAGAGTCCGCGGCCAGGCGGCGGACGGCAGAGGGGCGCCAGACGCGCTGAGGAAAAGGTGCACGTGCTGGGAGCCGAATGGCCCGCCATGCGCACAGGCAAAGACAGTGCAAGGGTGCAGAGGAGGCCCTCACGGCGGATGCACCCGCAACGGCATGGCGAACATGACATGGCGTGATGGCACGGGTGCGTGGGGCGGGGCTGAAGCCGCCTCCCCCGCCAGCAGGCACGGCACACCAGGGAACAGCGCCCGAGTGAGCAAGGACGGCAGTGGCCGTAACGCGCAGGTCAGGATGAGGGCAAAATGAATGAGAAGCCCCAGCGTTCTTCAAAAGCGTCGGACCACGTAAGAAACTGAAGAAGGAAAACAGTATCAGTGCGCAGACGCTTGAGAGTGGCGCGGTGGATGAGGCCTGCTGTGCGGCCGTGCGGGAGGCCGAGGGCCGCGTCCACGCAGGTTAGGAGCATGTCCGAACTGCGGGCCAGAGTCGGGCGGGGGCCAGGAGCTCTCAGACTCCATAGGCGGAGCTCGATGCATCGGTGGGCAGTCGGCTGCGCGTCGGCCTTTCTCGGTCCGTCGTACTGTGGTCCAGCTTCGCGGAACCAGTGGGTGTGCCTAGCGGGGCGGCGGTCGGGGGCCGCCACAAGAGGCGGCAGGTACGCGGCCAACACCCATGACAAGAGGATCCGCTTGGCCCGGCGGAGCGCAGGAGCCGGAGCATCCTGGTAGGGTGGCTCCTCCTGGGCCTGCGCGGCGCCCCCGCCGCCCCCCTCGGCGGCTGCTGCGGCCTTGCGTTTGGCCCTCAGCCTCCTCAGCCTCCTCCTGTCGGAGCGCTCCTCAGCCTCCAGTCGTTGGAGCAGGTCCTGCTCCTTCAGGTGCGACAGAATCTCCGCGAACTCTCGCAGCGTGTCCGCACCCTGGAAATTTCGGCCGCTAGGGTCGGCGTCCTGCCTCCCAGCGGCGACGCTGCTGCTCACGGGCTTTGCCGCAGAGGGGCCGGCCGTAGGGGGGCCGTAGCTGGGGCCGTCGGCTGTGTACCCGATCGGGTCCCAAAAGCCCACGGGCGCTTGCACCCCGAGGTCGTGGTGGAGGTCGTGGTCGTCGGCACCGTCGTCGCGTGAGTCTCGGAGTCCGACTTCACAGTCAGCTGTGCGTTCAGTCTGGGCGCGGCTGCCTGGTGGGACGGTCAGCGCAGGTGGCCTGCAGGGTACTGCTGCCGTGACGTCAGGGCGCTGCGCTGCTGAGGTACGGTGGCGTGGGTCCACTGCTGGGCCGGGCTGGGGTCCCTGAGTTTGGGCCTTGGTCTGTGCGCCCGCACTGGGGGACGGCATCTCGGCGCGGAGCGCAGGTGCAGGGACGGTCAGACTGGAGCATCTCAGGTGGGCGGTGTCCCCAGACGACAGCGTGACGGTCCAGTGGCCGGGGTGCTCGCTGGACTGCCCCCGTGCGATACCTCGGAGGCCGTTGATGGGGTTGTGGACTTGACCCTGGACGATGACCGCTGTGCCCGCGTGGAGCCGTGGTGGGATCCAAGCGGCCAAACGGCAGTTTACGGCTCGGAGGTGACCGATGGTGGCTGGTTGCGGTCCGAGGAAGCGCTCGAAGTGCTCCCGTACAGTCACAGTGCTAGCGCTGGCAGTGCTGGTGCTAACACGCGAGGTTGCGAGGGAGCCAGGACCCAGGGCAGGTGTGTGAGCATGCGAGACGGCCGAGGCTGGCCCCGCTGCCGTGCTACCAGGTTGTGGCGGGGAGGTCACCCCAGGGCTCGAGGCAGCGTGGGGACCGATGACAGGAATGGCAGGCGTGGTGCCATGCGGGGGGGCTGAAGCCGCCCCCGCTGGCGTGCTACCAGGTTTTGGCGGGGGGGGGTGACTCGAGGCTTGAGGCAGTGTGGGGGCCGATGACAGGAATGGCAGGCGTGGTGCCATGCGGGGGGGCTGAAGCCGCCCCCGCTGGCGTGCTACCAGGTTTTGGCAGAGAGGCCGGCTCGAGGCTCGAGGCAGTGTGGGGGCTGATGCCAGGGCGGCCCTGGGCGGCCGTTTGGTGGCCTAGAGGGCGTCTGCGGTCGACGTCGCCCCCGCGCTGTCGGCGTCGCCGCCGCGCTGTAGCTGCGCTCCGTCGCCGCCACTCGTCGCGGAAGCCGATGAAGAAGGAGTACATGACGTACGTGGCGCACAGGGTGGCCCACGTGGACGGTGACACCACGTTGTACCACTCGATGACCTCCAACCACACACGCTCCACGAGCGCTGCCGTGTAGGCCGACGTGGGTGCCACCTTTGGTGCCGCCGCGGACGACACAGGGCGTGCTGAATCTGGCAGGGTTGGCGTGAGAGTTGTCGTCGGCGGTGCCGGCGTTGGTGCTGGTGTCAACGTTGGTGCCCACGTAGGCGTGGGCGTGGGCGCTGCCGCTGGCAGTGCTGGTGTCGAAACTATGGACGATGTTGCCATGGATGCGAGCGTCGATGCAGACGGCGGAGTTGGCGTAGATGCTGGCTGCAACTCTGGCGTGGGTACCGGCGTAGGCGCGGGCGTGGGTGGTGACGCTGGCGGTGCTGGCGTCGGAGCTGTCGTCGGTGCTGGCCTCACTGTTGACGTCGGGGTGGGTGTCGGGTCTGACGTCGCTGCTGCCTGTGACTCTGGCTTTGGTGCCGGCGTGGTGGGGGCGGCCGCTGGCGCTGGAGGTGCTGGTGTCAGAGCTGTCGTCAGTGCTGGCGTCGGTGCGGGCGTCGACAGGGACGTTGGCGCTGCCTTCGGCTCTGACGTCGCCGTCCAGGGGGCAGGCGTGGATGCTGACACTGCCGATGCTGGCGTCGGAGCTGCTGTCATTGGTGCTGACGCCTCGGCTGCACTCGGGGCCGGCGCTGTCGCTGGTGTCGGAGCTGCGTGCGGGTCTGGTGTTGGTGGCGCCGTAGTCGTGGGCGTAGGTGTTACTTGTGAGGCTGTTTTCGCTGGTCTGTAGTTGTTGCCCCACGGGGTGTCGCAGTGGGTGCCCATGGGGTACTGTGCACAGCACTGCCCTGACACGCTCTTGAAAAGTACAACGCATTTTGTCCCACCTATTTGCTCTGATACGTTCAGTAATACACATGTTACCGTAGACGATGCCGCCGGCGAGTCTGACATGGCTGCCGCCGTCGGCGGCCGCCCGAAAACTGGCACTTCCGATGCGGCCGTCACAGCTGCCGTCCGTGCTGTCGTCGATGACTGTGGAGGGATCGGGAATTGAAGGGGTGCAGGTGCGATCGGGAATTTAAGCGGGTACAGCCCCACTCGGACTGAGTGGCCCGCCCGCCCCACCAGGCCTTGGGCCAGCCTTGAGCAGACTGTGCCGATGCTGTCGTCGATGTTGTCGTCGATGCAGACTGTGCCGCAGACGATGAAATCGACGAGGCAGACGTGTCATGACATGACATGGCGGTCCCACTAGCGTAGGGTGCGCCTGAAGACGGCACCCGCGCCAGCGGCCCTGGGCGAGGCGTCAGGACAGTGGATGGCCGAGGGCTCGTCGAGGCAGGCGTCGATGCGGTCGTCGGTGCTGACGTCGCTGTTGGGGTCGATGCGGGCCGTGGCGCAGGCGTAGGTGTCGACGTGGCGGACATGATACGGCGTGGCATGGCGGTCCCAATAGCCGTGGGTGTGCCTGACGGCGTCGATCTCGTCGTCGATGCCGCCGTCGGTGCCGACGATACTGAGGCCGACCCTGTCGTCAATGCTGGCGTCGGTGCGGACGTGAGCGCGGGAGCCACGGCCGTGTATGCCGCCGTGGATGCAGTCATGGGTGCTGTCGTGGATACCGCTGTGGAGGCCGTTTGGGGTGCTGCCGTAGATGCCGACGTGGGTGCCAACATTGGTGCCGCCGCCGGCGAGTCTGCCACTGCTGACGTCGAAGGCGGTCGCCCGAAAGCTGTCGCTGCCGATGTGGACGTCCCAGCTGCCGTCCGTGGTGGCGTCGACGACTGTGGAGGGATCGGGAATTTAAGGGGGTACAGGTGCGATCGGGAATTTAAGCGGGTACAGCCCCACTCGGACTGAGTGGCCCGCCCGCCCCACCAGGCCTTGAGCCAGCCTTGAGCAGACTGTACCGATGGTGTCGTCGATGTTGTCGTCGATGCAGACTGTGCCGCAGACGATGAAATCGACGAGGCAGACGTGTCATGACATGACATGGCGGCCCCACTAGCGGAGAGTGCGCCTGAAGGCTGCACTCCCGCCCGCGGCGCTGGACGAGGCGTCAGAGCAATGACTGGCTGAGGACTCATCGAGGCTGGCCTCGATGCGGCCGTCGGTGCTGACGTTGATGTGGACGTGGGCGCCTCAATCGATGCGGTGGTCGGCGGTGCTGGCCTAGGGACACCCAGGGTCGTCGGCGGGATGGGATAAATAGTGGGTGGTGCCGCTGGCGGTGCTGTCGCAGGAGCTGTCGTCGGTGCTGGCCTCGATGCAGACGTCGGAGCTGGCGTCGACGCTGGCTGCAACTCTGGCGTGGGTACGGGCGTAGGCGCAGGCGTAGGTGCTGACGCTGGCGGTGCTGGCGTAGGAGCTGTCATCGGTGCTGGTCTCGATGGAGACGCCGGAGCTGGCGTCGATGCGGCCTGCAACTCTGGCGTAGGTACCGACGTAGGCGCAGGCGTGGATGTTGACGCTGGTGGTGCTGTCGTAGGGGCTGGCATCGGTGCTGGCCTCGATTCGGACGTCGGAGCTGGCGTCGAAGCTGGCTGCAGCTCTGAGAGACGATGATGCCGAGGAGAGGTCTGTAGGTCACCAGGCTTCGGCGGGCCTGAAGGCGCCGCCGAGCGAGTGGCCGTACAAGGAGCGCAAGAGTGGCTGGTTGTGGTGCTGGCGTCTCTTGCGGCCGTCGGGGCTGTCGCTGGCAGTACTGGCGTCGCTGCCGTCGATGCTAACGTCGGAGCCGCCGCTGGCAGTGGTGGCATCGCTGCCGTCGATGCTACCGTCGGAGCCGGCGATGCTATCGATGCCGCCGTCGGAGTCTGTGAAACTGCGGGCGGAGCCGTCGTCGCTGCCGTCGATGCGGCCGTCGGAGCCGACGATGCTAACGATACTGACGTCGGAGCCGGCGGTGCTAACGATGCTGCCATCGTAGCTGCCGTCTCTGCTAACGATGCTAACAGTGCTGCCGTCGGAGCCGTCATCGCTGCCGTTGATGCTGCCGTCGGAGTCGGCGAAGCTGTGGTCATTGCTGCCGTCGATGCGAGCGTCGATGCTGACATCGGAGCCGGCGTCGGTGCAGCGTCGTCATGGTCGTCGTGGTCGTCGTCGTCGTCTCCTCCTCCTCTAGCGGGGCTGGGCGAGGGAGGGGGCGGGGATGGTGTCGAATCTGTGCACCCCGCTGGCGTCGCGGCTGACTGCAGTGCCGTCGTTAGAGTTGGCTTCGGTGCTGTCTGCGGTGCTGGGGTGTGGTCCGTCATGGACGTGGGCGTGGGCGCTCCCGAGGACGATGCTGGCGTCAATATTGACGTCGATGCGGGCATTGGCACGGGCGCTGACGTCGACACGGCGGACGGGTCATGGCATGGCAGGGCAGCCCCACTGACGTCAGGTGCGCCTGAAGACTGCACCCTCGCCAGCGGCCCTGGGCGAGGCGTCAGGACAGAGGATGTTGAAAGGCTCATCACTGCAGGTGCCGAGGACATGACATATCGTGGCATGGCGGCCCCCGCAGCCGAAGGTGCGCCTGAAGACTGCACCCTCGCTGGCGGGCACGGGCGAGGGGACAGGGCAGGTGATGACGGTGGGCTCGTCGGGGCTGGCGTCAATGCGGTCGGCAGTGCTGGTGTCGATGCTGGGGTCGATGCGACGACAAGCATGACGGCGGCGAAAATGGTGGCACGTTTGGGGCGGGCCAGCCCCGCCGTGCCCTTGGAGCCGCAGGCGGTGCTGATGGCGCCGAAGATCATGCTGCCGACCTTGACGGCCCTTTTAGGGTGGGCTGGACCCGCCGTGCTGGTGGAGTCGACGATGTTGTTGACGACGCTCCTGGTGCCCGTGCCGATGGTGCGCAGGACCGCGTTGACGATGCCGAGAACGATGCCGAAAGTGGGGCCGAGGACGCACCCGAAGTTCAGCGGGATAATGCCGGTGAAGGTGAGGGCGGTGCTGGCGAGGCCGCGGAAGCGCTCCCGGGGGGGGGTCGGGGTCCGGCTGCTTGTCGCGCACGGCGCGACGACGGCAGGCGTGGGACCCGCCCGACCGCTCTCAGCACCGTCTCCCTCAGCAGTCGGGAGCCCGACCCCCCCCCGATTACCTGGCCGTAGCGGGGTGGGCAAGTGCTGGACGAAGTCGTCGGTGTCGGCGTTAGTGCCGTGTGGGTGGGCGTGGTGGTCAGCTCGGTGCGCGCGCAGCTCAGCGCGCAGGTGGTACACGTCGTGCTCTAGAATGCGGAGATCTTCGTGAAGATTCGCTCGAAGCACGCGTGGGGCGTGGCCAGGTGGTTCAGGAAGGTCGCGCCCGTGCAGGACGGGCACGTAGATGACAAGGTCCTGGTGCCTATGCTCGATGAATTGGCAGTGGCATTCTCGAAGCGGTCCAGGCAGTAGCTGAGGGTGAAACGAACTGCATGTGCGGGCATTGCGGCGCTGGGCTGGTGGCTCCATGGCGGCAGTACCTGCGTATACTTGGGATGGGGTAGGAGGCATCGGCATGACAGTCTCGCCGCGCGAAGGCTGCCTCCTGGGGCTCGCTCTGAGTGGATACTCTCGAGCCGAGACTACAGAGAGAGAGAGATAGAGTGCGAGAGGGAGAGGGAGAGGGATGGATGGAGGGAGGGAGGGAGGGAGGGATAGCGATTAATTGAAGAGCGTGGAGTGGAAAATCCCTCTGCAACACAGAGCGACTTCACAGTCGCAGCCTCTCCTCCTCCACTGTCCTCCTCCTCGACCTCCTGCGTCCGGCACTGCACATCTCAAGCCGAAAGCTCCCACCCCTGGCAGCAGACGGCGCGTAGGAGCTGGAGAAGCGGCTGGCGCTCGCGGCCTTCCTGGCCTCCACGGGCTCGTGGCCCCCCGAGACGGTCCTGCCGCCCCTGGATGGCCTGCTCCCCGCCGCGCAGGCTTCTTTGGGTCGGGGGAGGGGGGCCTTGCGATCCGGGCGTGGCATTTTTTTTCTACGCCCTGTCTCAAACCCCAGGGCCATCACAACTCGATCGGCTCGCAAGCTGCCGCTGAACGATGGGGTCTACGGTGTCTGTCGTGATTTTTCGACATGTCGAATGCTCTTCGCAACGTCGGATCTCAGGGATGATGAGGAGGGAAGGGGAGACTGTGGAGGATGTTGGAGGAGGATGCTGTGCGAAAGGCAGATAGGCTCGCATGTGCATCTCCTCGTTGCCTTCCTGCGATTTTCTCTCCCTCCCCTCATCCCATGGCTCCGTAGTTCGTTTTCCAATCATCACCTTTTCCTTGCCGTATTTCTTTCTCCTTTGTCCTTTCTCATGTCCCCTTTCTTCTTTTCCCCTTCCCCCTTGCTTTTCTCCCTTTTGAAAATTCCGGTCGCACAGACGCTTGTCGTCGACCTCGCGCTGTCCATTTACCTTTTCCCTCTTTCCCATTTCGCTTGTCCCCCCCCGTCTCCCCCTGCCGTTTCCTCCCCTCCTCCCTTTTCTCTTTCTCCCTTCCCCCCTCTGTTTTCTTCCGTCCCCTTTCCCTCCTGCCTTCTGCCGCGCGCCGCTTCCGCTTGCTCTTTCCCATTCCCTTTCGCCTCCTCCCCCCCCATCTCCCCCCTTCCATTCTCCCTGCCCCCCTTTCCTCTCATGCCCTCGCCTCTGAATTACCCTCCTCCCTCGTTTCCCTTCCCGCCCTCTCCTTTCTCGTCCCCTTTCCCTCCTCGCTTCTCTCTACTCCGCCATTTTCCCTTCTCCCCTATCCGTCCCTCCCTCCTCGTCATCGTCGTCGTCGTCGTCGTCGTCGTCGTCGTTTTCCTCGTCATCGCTGTCGGTCGTCGTTGTCGTCGTCGTCGTCGTGGTCGTCGTCGTCGTCGTCGTCGTCGTCGTTGTCGTCGTCGTCGTCGTCCTCGTTGTCGTTCGTCGTCGTCGTCGTCGTCGTCGTCGTCGTCGTCCTCGTTGTCGTTCGTCGTCGTCGTCGTTCGTCGTCGTCGTTGTCGTCGTCGTCGTCGTTGTCGTCGTCGTCGTGCTCCTCGTCGTCGTCGTCGTCGTCGTCGGCGGCGGCGGCGGCGGCGGCGGCGTCGCTGCGCGCAGCAGGCACGTGAGGGATCCGGCCCTGGCGCCGACGTCCTGGCGGCGCCTCTCGTCAACGTCTCCGTTTCTCGACCCTTGCCGGCCGCGGTGGTGCAGCGGGCGGCCAAGGGGCTGTTCGTGGCGCCGACGCCTTTGCGGCGCATCTTGCCGCGGCCGCCGTCCCTTCACGAGGAAGGCCACACGCTTTTCGTGCCGTGGGAGCGGCACTACATCCCAGACCCGCGCTGAGCCCAGTTCGGGGTCGCGCCTCCGAGAGCCCTCCCTAGGAGGTCGCTGCAGTTCGCTTTCCCGCAGCCGTACCTCGTGTCTACGCGCTCGCCTCCAGGACCTCCACCTCCTGGAGGTTCGCCTGGACTTCACGCTCCCTTAGGTCTGATTGGACCTCCGAGTCGGTCTGTTCGGAGTATGGCTTCCCCGAGTCCCGCTTCCTTGAGGGTTTCCTCGTAGACCCCCGCCACCCCAGGGTCTTGTTCCTGGTGCGCTTCCACCTCCCGGGGAATTCCGCGGAGTCCCGCTCTTGGGGGCGCGCCTGGACAGGCGTCTCCCGGAGTTCTGCTTCTCGGAGTCTCGCCTCCTGGACAACCAGGACTAACTGCTTGAAGCCTGCCCTCCCAGGGTCTCTCTCGTCGCCCCTCTCCCTCTTCCTCTCCACCTCCCCTTCCTCTCCGCCCTCCCTCGTACCCGCGCTGGCCAAGTCTGCAGAGCCCGCCCGACCGCCTGGCGCCCTGTCCCACCTGCGGGGGCATCGGCCCCCAGGCAGTGGGGGGGTTGCGAGGCTCGCCCAGCGTTTGGGCCGACCCCGAAGGGAGCGCAACGCTCGCCGCGCCTGCCTGGTCCGCCCAGGCCCTCCGGGGTGACTGGGGGGCCTGGAGGAGGCCAGGATTTGTAACAGGCGCATCCCTGGTGGGCCCAAGCCCGCTGTCTCCGCCGCGCTGGCTGGCAGGACCTCCAGGGTGGCGGCGCTCGCAGTGGGGCGGTCGACGCCCCTAGGGGCCTTCCTACACTTTGGCAGTCTATTTGACGGTCCTCCCCTCCGCTCCCCTCCTCCTCTCCCCTCCCCTCCTCTCCCCTCCCCTCCCCTCCCCTCCCCTCCCCTCCCCTCCAGTCCTTCTCCCTTATCCCTCCTTCCTTCCACAATCACACAATATGAATACTGCTTTCTTCTCTCCCCTGGTGACATCCGCCGGGAAATAGTCGCCCCCCCTCCGCGTATTGATATAGCGCCATGCCACGGCATGGTTTTCGGTCCTTCCAAAATCGGCCCCCAAATCTAAAAAACGCCCCCCGAAAAAACCATCGGAAATGATTACACATTCAGTGCCGATTCATTGATTTTTTGGACCCCCTTCGTCCGGCCCCGGGGGCTTCAAAAACGATCCGGCTGGAAAACGCTGATCCGACTGGACCCCGTGAGGGGTCCAGGGGCCCAGCGTGAGCCGATTATTCAAGGAAGCCAGACCATCGAGCCTGGCAGCCCGCCGTACTATTCCCTGACATCCGTCCTCACCCGCCGCAGCTTCCCCTGCCGCCGCCGCCACCGTCGTCGTCTGCGTCGTTGTCGCCGTCGGAAATTTCTGTGCGTTCCCTGGAGCTTCCGAACGTCTTCGGGCCATCCGCCACGCTTCGTGCAGAGCTGTCTGGGGAACCTAGTGAGACTCGGAAGGGGGCCCGGGGAACGAAAGGCAGCGTGTCGAAAAGAAGGGGGGGGCTCACACTATTACAGTACCCCTACCAGACGGCACTTGGCATTCGAAAGCGCCCACATCGGGCAGTCACGGTTGCGCAGTACATGCAGCCTGGATTGGACAGACCTTCTCCGTTAGTACACGGGCCATTTACCTTCTAAGGCATCCGGTGCCATGCCATGGCATGCAATGCGATGTTGCGTTGTGCTCCGCTGTGCGATGCCATGCTTTGCGATGTTACGCTCTGTAATGCAATGCTACACTACGCAATGCCAAACCATGCTATGACATGCTCTGCTCTGCCGCGCTCTTCTACACCATGTTATGCCATGCCATACCATGCATCGCAAACCCTCTCGGGATCATTGCCTTGCTCGACGTCAGCTTGTGCGTATAAAGAGAAGTTCTGCGCCATGGTACGGGTTGGGAGGGAGGGGTATGACGACAGATATGACGCGAGCGCACCTAGCTTGCCTCCCGCCCTCTCCCCCCCCTCCTCGAAGGGACCCGGGCCGGCCTCCCGCCGAAACCTGCGCGGACCGCGAGCTGGTGGTGCTGCTGCTGCAGCTTCAACCGCGGCCCCGGCACATGTCCATCTTTGGGACATGTGGTCACTGGTGCTAGGCGTGTCGGCCAAGGTGTGCCCATCAGGAGGGGTTTTCTCATTGCCCAAGTGGAGGTCGACATTCCACTTGGGCACTGGCGACGCGGCACACCCATCCTTCAAACAAACGCAAAAAACATTGTGGGCGTAATGCCTATTTCAGCCTCTTCCTCCTCCTGCCTCCCTCTCTGAACTCCCTTGTCCGCCGCCATATAGGCTCACAGCGGCCCTTGAGCTATCGTGGCGCGCCGGTGACGGACGCGCCTCAGCCTCCGTAAAAGAAAAGAGAACGTGCTCTCTTCTAGCACGGGTCCCTTCCAGGGATGATGATGATGATGATGATGATGATGATGATGATGATGATGATGAGGATGATGAGGATGATGAGGATGATGAGGATGAGGATGAGGATGAGGATGAGGATGATGATGATATGATGATGATGATGATGATGATGATGATGATGATGATGCTGATGATGATGATGATGATGAGGAGGATGAGGATGATGATGATGAGGAGGAGGAGGAGGAAGAGGAGACCTGGTCGCAGTGGGCCTGGACACGATGGCAGTCACAGGAGGCTAGTGGCCGCATGGACGACGCAGCCTTGCCGCATGCGTACTGGGCTCGACAGTGCGCCAGAGGTGCAAACGTCTTCCAAAATGCCTGGCGCGCTGGGGGCGACTCCGTCCAGCCGCTAGCCACTTTGCATGAGCCAGAGCGCGCGCGCCCACAACGTCACAAGTGATGGCCTACTGGCCGCCCGAATGCTGCGTGGCGTTCGGTTTCGTGCACGGGCCTGCATGCACATAGGAGGATCCCCGTCACATGGTGAAAAAGTGTCGTGGCAAGACGAGGGAGGGTCGGGAGAGTATGTCTCGAATTCGCAGGGGTCTCTTCCCCCATCCAGGGGGCGCGCCGTGCTCCGTAGAGCGGGCGCGCGGCCAGCGACACTGCGCGAGTGCCGCCAGTCTTGACGTCAGTTTGGCGAGGCCGTCGAGCGTAGAGCTGGCCTGGAGGACGCAGCTGGCTCTGGTGACCCAGTCGGATAGCGGGGGCAGCTGCTGCCAGGGTATCTGTGCCGACCGGGGCTTCGGCTCCGTCCAGGGCTGGGTGCTCTTCTTGGCCGTCTTTGCCACTCCTTCTCGCTCAGCAAAAAGAGTTCCAGAGAGTTCCTCCGCTCCTTCGGGCCCCTCCTTGCTTCCTTCTCCCCTCCTCCCTCCCGCCCCTCCCTCCCCTCCCCCCACCATTCCGAGGCTGTGCCTGCTGCTCCTCCTCCTCCTCCTCCTCCTCCTCCTCCTCGTTCTCCTTCTCCTCTCTACCTCCTGATCTCCTTCTCCTCATTGTCGTGGTCTTCCTCCCCCTCTCCCTTCCTCCTTCCCTCCTCCTCCCTTCTCCTTCTCCTCCTCCCTTACTTCTTTCTTCTCCTCCTCCTCCCTCTTGCCTCCCCATTCCTCACTCCAGACTCACATCTTTTGCCCCAACCAGACCCCAACGAGCCCGCTCTCGACGAATACGTTTTCGGATTCGGTCTTGGCCTTTTCCCACCGATCCCTGCTGCGGCTACGCCATGGGCGGCGCTCCCCCCGTATAAGCTCACGCGATAGCACCGCGGGTGCTCTTGTTTCACAGGTCTCTTTGCATGGAGTTCCAGCCCGAGGGTTGAGCCCTGCTTCTGCTGCTTCCCCTCCTCCCCTCCCTCCTTTCCCCCCCCACCCCCCTCCTTCCCCGCCTTCCCCGTGCTGTTCTCCCCCTCCTCAGCTCCTCCTCCTGCCTCCTGCTCCTCCTCCCTCCTCCCCCCCGTGCTCCTGCTCAGCTCTCCCCTCCCCTCCCCCTCGCGCTCCCGCGGCTGCCTCAGCTCCTCCCTGGGGGGCCCACCTCCGGAGTGCCCCCGCCGCTCCTCTGGCGCGCCCGAGGCCTTCGCCAGGCAGAAGTACCCGCAGTACCGGGGCGCCTTCCAGGGGCGCCTCGCGGAGGCCCCCTGCGGGGGGCAGAGGGGCCCTCCTCTCTCTTCTAGTTCTCCTCCTCCTCCTGCTATTCCTCCTCCTCCTCCTCGTCTTCCTCCTCCTCCGCAATCTGGCTCCTCTTTTTTTAGTTCCTCCTCCTCCTCTTCCTCCTCTCCTTGTGGCTCCTCAGAGCCTCGCCTGGCCCCGGGCGGAGAGGCTTCTCGGGCGCGCTTCGAAATCCCAACTTCGTATTGTTTTGACGCACATCGGCGGCGAGCGAGGGGGGGAAGTGAGAAGGAGAAGGACTTCTCAGAAGGCGTCGGGACTTCTCAGAAGTTCAACTTCTGCGAAGTTTTCCGTGTCTTCGGGCAAGGCTCAGAAAATTTCTCAGAAGGCCGGGGGACTTCCGAGTTTTCTGAGAAGGCGTCCTCCTTCTGACTTCCCCCCCCCTCGCCCGCCGCCGAGACAAATCGACGGAGGCACTCTGCACGGGTGCATTCGACATTTGCATATGAGTGTGCTGGTGTCCCTGGTCGGCTTCGTTGAGCGACGTGCGTTTCGCCGGATACATTCGGTCGGTTTTGGACGTCGATTTGTGGTTCCGCCCAGGTGCACTCAGAATGTAGTGCCGCGCGCACCCGTGGAGTGCCCCACCAGCTCTCGCTGTCAATCCTCGGGAGGAGGGCGAGTTGAGACAGCGGTAGTTGGTCTTCGTGGGACCCCCTCGTCGCCATGGCTGGACGCGGCTCGGGAAACTGGTGCGTTTGGATCCCGGGATGGGGTCTGGGGGTCGATCTTCTCGACTCGCCCTGCTCCGACCACGGAGGAGGGAGGATGAGGATCATGAGGAGGAGGGTCAGAGTAACCCCAGGGTGCTACAGTAGTGTTGCAAGACGTCCCCCCTCGTGTCAACTTCCGTCTTCGTAAGTTCTACAGGCTTTCCCTCCTGCTGCGGAGAGCGTCGCCGTGAGCGACGAGAACCCTACGGGCCTGCCGTTCGGACGCGAGCCCCGTTTGGAACAAGGGAAGTGGCTTGCCTCTTTCTTGCGGGGCACAAGGAACATGCCGAGCCACAATGCCGTTTTGAACTGCCCAGCGAGAGCCCCGCTCGAGAAGGAACTGCATTCTGATTTTGTTGTTGTTGATGGTGATGATGAGGAAAACGATGCTGCTGCTGATGACGATGATGATGATGCTGATGCTGATGCTGATGCTGATGCTGATGATGATGATGCTGATGATGATGATGATGGTGGTGGTGGTGGTGGTGGTGATGATGATGATGATGATGGTGGTGGTGGTGGTGTTGGTGATGATGATGATGATGATGATGATGATGATGATGGTGGTGGTGGTGGTGGTGGTGATGATGATGATGATGACGACGACGATGGTGGTGGAGATGCTGATGATGGCGAGGATGATGACGAGGCTGACGATTTGACGACAGGTTGGAGGAGGAGGAGGAGGAGGAGGAGAAGGACGAGGTGGAGGACGAGGAAGAGTAGGACGAGGAGGAGGAGGAGGACGAGGAGGAGGAGGTGGAGGAGGCGGAGGAGGAGTAGGACGAGCAGGAGGAGGAGGAGGAGGAGGAGGAGGTGGAGGAGGCGGAGCAGGAGGATGAGCAGGAACAGGAAGAGGAGGAGGAGGAGGAGGAGGAGGAGGAGGAGAAGGAGGAAGAGGAGCAGGAGGAGGAGGAAGAGGAGGAGGGTGACGAGGAGGCGGAGGACGAGGAGGGGGGGGGGTGGAAGGATGTGGGGGGATAGGAAGAGAAGGCGCTGGCGCATGCCATTGCTGTCGAGGGGGTTCTCGGCTGGTCAAGCCGAACCTATATATGTGCTTGTTGAGTCCCGCAGCTGTCGGGGAGGGGCTCGCCGTTGCGACCCCGCTGCCCCTGCGGTCGGCATTGTTTTCATGCGATGGCCAAATCGGCCTTGTGCCAGAAGACCTCCTCCCTTGCCCTGCCTCTTTCCACTCGGCATCGCTCGGACGAGTGTAATTTTTCTTCAGCGAGGCCAGCGCCAGATGATCTGGCCCATCTAGGAGCATCTTGGATCATCCAGCGATGGAAAGCAAACGCACGACTCCGAAAAATGCACGGGGATTGGACGTCTGAGCTCTGGCCAGTCCAAGTTCAATCTTCAGCCTCATCCTCATCGCAATCCTCATCTGCATCAGCAGCATGGTGAATCCTCATCCTCGTTTTCACCACCAGGAAACTAGGTACACGTGGTCACACGACGATGCCAGCCTGGACGAGAGTTGGATGCACATGTGGCCGCATGTCGTTCCAGCGCTCGGCCATTATGTGGCCGGGGACGCTGGTCCTCTACGTGTGTATCCAGCGCTTGGCCTTTACATGTTCAACGTGTGAATTCAGCCATGCGTATTTCCAGCTTCCTGGTCGATCTCCTTCCTGTTCCCCATCCGCATCCGCATCCGCATTCTCATCTACATTCCTATTTCTATCCGCACCCTCTTCCTCATCCTTATGCTCACCCTCACCCTCTTCCACACCCTCATCCTCATTCGCATCCTCGTTCTCATCAATTTCCGAATCCTCATCCGACCGCCTCTCCACCCGTGGCTACAGACTCCCGACATCATGATTCATTCATTACGTGCACCCTGGAGGTCTGGACCCTTTCCTGGGGAGTGTATTTCCACCTTGAGCCATTTTCTGGGCCCGACGCCCAGCAAGGGCCCGAGGAAGCCGCGAATAGCAAAAAAAAACCTTCCGTCGCCCTTTGTTTCATGACCCGAGGGGGTCTGGGGCCCTTCTTCGGGCCAACGTCGGGGCCTCCCACCCTTTCGGATGCAACTCCTGGGATGTCAAATTCTGACTTTGCCCAGGTCCGACATCCCGTTTCATCTGGCTCAGCCCCGCTAAAATCGGGCTCCATCCCGCTTCATCCGCGGCCCCATCCGGCGCAGCAGCCCCACGGTGGGGCTTACAGTCGGGGCGCTGAAGAAGGAACCCTTTTCGCTGGGGAGGGGCTCGGTGTTCCTTGATTGTTTCAAAGTTTGCCTCGGGTTTTCCTGCGGTTTTCCATCGGAAATCGAGGTTGAACTTATGGAAGATAGGGGCCTCGTTCCTTATTTAGGGCTCCTTAGGTCAACGCCTCGACTGTAATCCGCGGCCTCATCTGGCGCAGCAGCCCCACGGTGGGGCTCACTCCGTAGTCCTTCCGACGAAGACCTCCCAGTGGTTGCCTCCCAACGCCCGGCCCACCCTGCCCGCCGGGCCAGGGCCAGCCTCGGGGCCCCCGCCCCGCCAACCCTCGGGGGCCAAGCCTCGGGGCCAATGCCTCGCTGCCCCCGCCGCCATGCCAGCCCGGTTCGGCAGCAAAAAGCATGGGAGCCTGTTGTGTCCTCGCAAGGTCCCCGCCGCGTGAGCGTATTCGTTCCTTCCCCTCCTCCCGCGGCCGCTCCCTTCTTCGCAGAATGAAAGACGGAGTGAACATGAACTTTTGGCGCTCCGCGCGGATTTCTTGGATGCGCGCTTAGGCCCCCCCCCTGGCGGCGCCTCCAGCGCCGCCCCTGGCGCGCTCCGCGCGCCAGGGAGGGCGGTCCAGCGCAGATCCAAGAAGTCCGCGCTGACCGTCGAAAATGTATGTTTATGCCGTTTCTCGTCTTCTATCAGTTCCTTCACTTCCTCCCGCGGCCGCTGCTTCCTTCCTTGCGCCTGCCTCCCCTCTGGCATCTGTACAACTCGCAATGCCGCCACCCAGCCGTGCGGACTGCCTCTGCCGCGCTGTGACGCAAAAGGATGTCCTTGTAACTCCGTCTTCTGAGTGCATTCGCGTGCGCTAGCGTCTGGCAATCGATTAGGGCGCGCCGATTTTCAGCGTCGCTGCAGCGCCAGTTCGTGAGAGCCAGCAAGGTGGCATGGGAGGCTCGCAGGAGTTGCCACAGACACCTGGTGCTTCCCTTGGGCCCGACCGTCGGGCCGGATGAACGGGGGGCGACAGGGGAAGGGGGGCTCCGCAGTCTGCCGCCCGAGCCTGGTTCGGGTCCCGCCGCCGGGCGCATGCCTCGACGCAGCGGCGCTCCGGCGCCGGCGCCACGCGAGCGGATTCGCGAACCCCGCCCGGTGTCGGACGGGGCGAGGGCGAGGGCAGATCCGTTCCAGAGCGTTCCAGAACGCTCTCAGTGCGTCTTGGAGCGCTCTGAGAAGGCCGCGGCGCCAGAGGCATCGTCCAGAGCCGCCAGATCCCGGTTCTTGATTCATCCTCACTTGGATTTGTCCTCGTCCTGGCCTCGTCTTAGGCTACGGCCCCCCCTGCCCCTAGTTCGTCCGCGCCGAGCCGACCTGGTGCTTGCCTTGGGCCCGCTTCTCTCTGGCCCAAGTCCGTTCAGAGTCGGTCCCCAGACCCGTCCTGGAGTCCATCCCGCCCGTGGCGAAGAGAAGCCTTGGGGAGGCCCCGTCGGGACGAAACACGTCTGGGAGGGCCGCCGATGTCTCGATTTCCACCTGCCGTCTTGTTCTTGTTCTGTCAATCCGCGGCCCCAGATGTCCCGATCGCTTCCCTGGTGCCAATTTTTTCCCCCCCTGGATCCACTCGATGTCCCCAGGGCCCGACACATGGCCCCCAGAGGCCGAAATCATGGAACATCGCCGGTTGAACAAAGATCACATCGTCGGAGATTTGGTTCTCGGCGGGTCTCTGGCGGCCGTTCGGTGTCATCAGGGCACGCCCAGAACGCCCTCGACGAGGCGCAGCTGCTGGAAGCGAGGGCCCACTCCTTGCGCGCACAACTCGGCCCGAGGAGAACTCGAGGACGACCCCCTTCCCTCCTCCCCCCTCCCTCCTCCCTCCTCCCTCCCTCTCCCTCCTCCCTCCCCTTCCTCCCTCCTCCCTCTCCCCAGTGCTCTCTTCCACGCTCCTCCTCCTCCTCCTCCTCCTCCTCCTCCTCCTCCTCGCCCTGCCCCGGGAACCCACGATCGGCGGCGAGCACGGGGGGGGGGGGAAGTGAGAAGGGGCGGGCCTTCTCAGAAGGCTCGGAAGCCCCCTGGCCTTCCGATAGGTTTTCTAAGCCTTCCCCGAAAACATAGAACATTTTCAGAAGGCGCGAGGACTTCCGAGAAATCCCGCCGCCTTCGGCGAAGGCTCTTCTCCTTCTCACTTCTCCCCCCCCCTCGCTCGCCGTCATCACGAGCACGCCCCAAGTCCTCTCACCTCGAACGTCCGACAGCCTCGGGGGAGGAGGAGGAGGAGGGGCAGGAGGAGGATGAGGAGGAGGAGAGGGAGGAGGAGGAGGAGGAGGAGGAGGAGGAGGAGGAGGAGGAGGAGGAGGAGGAGGAGGAGGAGGCGGAGGAGGAGGAGGAGGAGGAGGAGGAGGAGGAGGCGAGGAGGAGGAGGAGGAGGAGGAGGAGGAGGAGGAGGAGGAGGAGGAGGAGGAGGAGGGGAGGAGGAGGAGGAGGAGGAGGAGGAGGAGGAGGAGGAGGAGGAGGAGGAGGAGGAGGAGGAGGAGGAGGAGGAGGAGGAGGAGGAGGAGGAGGAGGAGGAGGGGCAGGAGGGGAGGAGGGCAGGAGGAGGAGGAGGAGGAGGAGGAGGAGGAGGAGCACTAGCACGACTATCGAGCTCATGGGGATATTATGGAGCTCACTCTGGATCTTGGGTTTCTTCGGGCCGAACACGGTGCACTCCCCCCCAGCTCTGGCCATTTTTTGCGATAACCAGTCGGCTGTCAACATATCCTTGGGTTTGGAGGTCCCGTCGGAGAACCAGCACCTGGCCTGGCTTACATACCATATATACCAGTGTGCGCTCAGGAGACACGGCACTCTGCTTTTGCATGTATGCGGTCACTCTGGGCACCCTTGGAATGAGTTGGCAGACAGTCTTGCACGGTCGGACCGAGCGGCTGGGTGTTCACCCCCGCCGGCCTTACGCGAGGCACTCAGGTACACGAACGACCTCGAATGGTGGTGGCTAAAGGAGGCACCTGCAGCCACAAGAGAAGCGTACCCTATAGGCCCCGACAACACCTTTCGGTATCCTGGGCGCCCTCAAGTGTCGGTGGAGACGCTAAGGGATACTATGGGTTCCCAACCCTCGCAGAAGGCGACCCCCAAGTCTTGCCAGTTCAGTATCAGCGTGAGGCTTGCCACCTTCAACGCCAAGACAGGCAGGGACGCGGAGGCCACGGCGGCAAGGCGCGCCAAAACGTCGGGAGAGGTTCTCAGGCTGCAGTTTGCTCAAGAGCAGTGCCACATCATTGGGGTGCAGGAGGCGAGGAATCCGTCGGGGGAGAGGTGTTCTGCTGGATACTTTGTGCTTTCCTCGGGATCCGATGGTGGCAAGAACTTGGGTGTCGAGCTTTGGGTCTCACTGCACCTACCCTACGGGCGACGTGGGGGCGAGGAGCTTTTCTTTGAGCAGAAACATTTTAGACCGTTGTACGCTACCCAGAGGCACCTGGTGGTTGGCTGTTGTGCCCCACTCTTTAGGAAGGTCATCCTGGTTGCCCATGCGCTGCACAACGGAGACGAGTATACCTCGCAGCAGAGGAAACAGTGGTGGCGGGACCTCATTGGGATCTGCCATAAATGGAAAGTACAGTTGGCCTTCCTGGACGCGAATGCCAGGCTCGGCAGCATTGTGTCTGAGGCAGTGGGCAGCGAAGGATTCAGGCAAGATGAGGACGAATCGGGCGGGCTGCTTCATGACATGCTCTTGGAGACGGGCTTAGCTGCGGCTAACACGCTAGTCCCCTCTCTCAGCAAGGACTCGTACACGTTTGTCTCGACGAAGTCTGAAACACCACACAGAATAGACTACATTGCGGTTGAGCAGGACATGATTCCCGCATTGGGGCAACATCAAGTACGATATGATATTGATTCCTTTTGCACTGGCAAGGATCATTATCCTGTCTTCATGCGCTTCGAGTCCCAGGGCTCCACCAAAGCAGCGCAACAACAGAGCGGCTACGACGCTAGGGGCACCCAGGACCCTGATAAGGCAGCAGCCTTCAGGATGCACCTGGCAGCGTTTCCCACGGTACCTCACCAGGTCGACATGAATCAGCACTTGCACGACATTATTCAATGCATGTTCGTTGGTGCACAAGCTTGCTTCCCTAAGCCCGCACGTACTCCGATCAGGCCATATGTCTCAGAGGCTCTTCTGGGCATTATCATCTTCAGAAGGCAAGTACGGCAGGCGTGGCGTCTCTGGGGTAAGCAGGACTCTAATGGGCTCAGGAGGCTGGTCGCCGCGGCGCTGGAGGCGGGGGCCCCCCAGAACATCACCGATCTCGAGCTGGACCTCCTGGTCTCTGGGCTTTTCCAGGCTTTCGCTGAGTGGGATAAGCAGATCTTGGCGGCAAGCGAGCTAGCCGCACACATGCTTGAGTTCCTGGTCAAGTCGAAGCCGGCCCTGAGAAGGGCCTTGAAGCTCTCGCGCAATGAACTGCTAGACGACCTTGCGCAGCAGTTGTGCAACGCTAGGTCCTCAAACGAGAGTAGAGTGGAGTGGAGAGTGCTGTACCAGCTGCAAAGGTTTGGGGGAAAGCGCTCCAAGTTCCAAGTCGACGGGCTTAGGATACGACGAGGTTCTCAGGGCGAGGTTCTTGCCACATCTGGAGATCTCTCGGAGGCCCTCACTGATTATTTCACTGTGATTGAGAATGGGCAGGCACTCAGCTGGGAAGAACTGGTTGAGAGATACAACTCCCTCCCTGAGCTGGGAAATGTGTATCCCAGGGAGTTGGACATGATCACCCCCTTCCGCAGGCTTAAGCACGACATCATGAAGGCAGCCAAGAGGAGAGGTGCTGGGCCTGACGGGCTAAGCAATGATCTTTTCCAGATCGCTCCGCAAGAATGCACGCAGATATTGCTGCCGTTGTTCGTGAAAGTTGACATGGCGTCCAGGGAGCCCCTGCTGTTCAAAGGAGGTTGGCAATGTGATCTACACAAATCTGGGTCCCCCGAACCCCTGGAGCACTACAGAGGCATCCTGCTGGGATGCCACACGGCGAAGTTGCACCATGCCTTCCTCAGGAGTAAACTTCTAGAGGCAACGATGAACATGCTGTCGGTGGTCCAGCAGGGAGCTCTCCCTCAGCGAGGCACTGACATTGCATCCTTGCATCTTCGGTCGGCCATGTTGGCTGCCAAGGCTAGGAAGCGCACATACTTGTCGCTGTACACCGATCTAAAGGCGGCATTCTACTCGGTCATCCGAGGGTTCGTTGCCAGAATGGCCCAGAGCAGTGAGGACATCCAGAGCACGCTTACGGGCTTGGAGATACCTAGTTGTCTGGAGCCCCTGTGCCATGCCCTAGTCGCCAAGCCTGGAGCCCTAGACGGACTGAGAAGTAAGCACCTTCTGGAAGCAGTGGTTGACGTGATGGAATGCAACTGGTTCCAAGTGCGGGGGAGTACCAGGGTCGTCTCCCCCCGCCTTGGTACGAGGCCAGGCATGCCACTAGCAGACCTCCTGTTCATCATAGCCTTCGACCCAATCATCATCGCGGTCAACAGTAGATTAGCATCCCTGGGATATCTTCAGAGGACTAAGGATGTGGTCCCGTCTCAGAGGATTTTCAGAGGACGTGATCACGCACATGTAGAAGAAGACGTATGGGATCCTGCCTTCATGGATGACCTCGTCAACGGCATCGAGCTGTTAGACGCTAGGCTCTGGAAGGAGGCGGCCATCGCCCTCGTCACGATCATGTACGAAGAAACCAAGTCTAGGGGGTTCACCATGAACTGGACGGCGGGCAAGACGGAGCTCATGGCCTTCTTCAGTGGCACAGGTTCCAGGAAGGCACGAGGGGAGTGCGCAGCCTTGGCTGCCACTGGCCTTCTCGTCCCCTCCTTAGGTGTCTCCCTGTGCCTCACTAGAACCTACAAACACTTGGGAAGTTACCAGGGCCATCAAATTTCTCTGGGACCTGAGCTGGCGCACCGTTGTCATCAGCAGCGACGTCCCCTAGGGGTACTGAGGCGCACTGTTTTTCCCAGGAAGCAAGTCAATGTAAGGGCCAAGTTAATTTTTGTTACGTCTTTGTGCACGTCGCACCTTCTGTTTAATGCCCTCACCTGGCACAAGTTAAACGTGAAACAGATGGCGACCCTTGCCCACAACTATTTGAGGCCGTTTAGATTGGCGGCTGGGCTTGGGTACGACACTGGCTCTGGCAAGGTTGCTGCAGACCATAGAGTTTTTGCCAAATGTGAGATCTTGCCCGTCGAGCTGGTACTGAGGCTCAGGCGGCTGCGATTTCTTCCCAGGCTTCTCAAATCGGCGCCTGCGTGTCTGCTGGCGATCCTGGACGAGTTAGCCTCTGTGCCTGAATCATGGTCCGCATTGTGTTGCGATGACCTGATATGGCTCAGCAGACACGTGAATCTGGACAGGGCACTCTTACCGTCAGGGCCCCCTGCTTGGTGGCTGTGGCTCCTGAGGTCTAGCAGCAACAAGTTCTGGAAGCGAATTTGCAAGCAAGCTGAATCGGCTGCCAGGGCCAAATTTTTGGACGATCAGCGCCATGAAGAATTCAAAGACGGGTGGCGAAAGTGTTGCATCACAAAGGGTCTTGCGCTCCCGTCGTTTCTGCGTCCGCCGTCGGTTCTCGCCTTGTATCCCTGCTTGGACTGTGGGGCGGTGTTGGCCACCAAGGGCGCTTGGGCCTCCCACCGCTCGAAGTGCCACCCCCACCTAGATCCCGCCCCCAGTTGCGCCTCAGGCACTGTGTGCATGGCTTGCGGTCTCAACTTCCACACGCATCTTAGATTGCTTAAACACGTTCGGCATGGCTCATCGAAGTGCCTGGCGGACCTTATGGCCGTCATCGCACCGATGAGCCCCGAACAACTGATGGCGGCTAAGGCGGAGGACGCGGAGCTAGCACGCACGCTTCGCGAGAAAGGCCACTATGCGGAGTCCGCGCAGCTCCCGCCTGTCCTCACGATGGGACCTAGGCTGAGGGGAGCGGCTGCCTCCAAGGGCCTTCCCACATGCATGCCGAGAATTTCGTGCCAACCAGTATGCATCCAGGAAGAGATGCCCACGCAGGCAGAGGTCCACATGCCTGTGGCCCCTGGCACTAAATACATAGTGATCCTCCGTGCAGCTCCCAGGAGTCAAGGTGACATCCAGGACAGAGCGGAGAAGTCCAGTGCCATGGTGGGCATGAATGTTTTTGTTTTGTCTATTAATATTCGCGAGCGTTTTCAGGACTCCACTGGGGGACTCCATAAGGAGCTATCGCTCATTAGTGATCTCATTCTTGCTGGGCGTGTCATTAGACTCGTGGCGGATTTCTTCCTTTCCTCGTGGGACCCCACCCCCCGCTGCAAAGTCAAGGGCGGTGAGTGCAGGCCTTTAAGGAGTTGCGATGAGCCTTGGGGAATTTCTGCCAGGTCGCCCTCGGAATGGAAGCAGCTGGAGCTCGACAATGCCGGTTTGAGGGCGGCACTGACGCTCGCGCTGTGCGCGGCGTCCTCGGGCCTAGCGGTGTTGCTCTTTCTAAACCCACCTGCTCCGCAAGCCAATCTTCCCTGCATGTGGAAGGTCCCCGAGGTCAGGTTCCTATGTTCTCTGCAAGATACGTCCCCGACGGTCACGTCGAGATGTGAGCCCATGGGGGACCGTCAGTGCCTGTGCATGAATGCCATGCCGATCATGGCCCCTACTGACAGCAGCCAGATCGAAGTCTACGCAGCTGCTGTCATCACGCAGGCAGCCTCACAACGCTGTGCCCCCACGCCTCCTGGGGATGCATGGCCGGAGGCGTCAGTTGCCCATCTGTACGCCCCGCTCGATTTGTATTGCGAGTCGGGTTGATGCTGGCCATTGCTGCTCTCCTCGTCCACCGCTACACTTGCCGCCTACCTCACCGCTGACGTATGCATGCGTGGACACCTCAGACATTGGTCCCCTAGGGCTGCGGGAAGAAGAAGGAGGAGGAGGAGGAGGAGGAGGAGGAGGAGGAGGAGGAGGAGGAGGAGGAGGAGGGGCAGGAGGAGGAGGAGGAGGGAACAGGAGGGGCAGGAGGAGGAGGAGGAGGAGGAGGAGGAGGAGGAGGAGGAGGAGGAGGAGGAGGAGGAGGAGGAGGAGGAGGAGGAGGAGGAGGAGGAGGGAGGAGGAGGAGGAGGAGGAGGAGGAGGAGGGCAGGAGGAGGAGGAGGAGGAGGGGCAGGAGGAGGAGGAGGAGGAGGAGGAGGAGGAGGAGGAGGAGGAGGAGGAGGAGGAGGAGGAGGAGGAGGAGGAAGAGGAGGAGGAAGGAGGAGGAGGAGGAGGAGGAGGAGGAGGAGGAGGGGGAGGGGGACGTCCGGCCTTGCCGCGGGGGAGGCGCTGCGGCCGGGCGCCGGCCGGGAGGACGCGGCGGGCGCGCTGGCGGCGGCCGCGGCCGCGCGCGTGGCGGGGCTGCCGCAGCTGGCCGAGGTGTGCGCGCAGCTCGAGAAGGCCGAGGCCGAGGGGGCCGAGGGCCCCGTCGGCTGTTGGGGGCAGGGGTCTCCTCCTCCTCCTCCTCCTCCTCCTCCTCCTCCTCCTCCTGGTAGGGGGACGCATCCCAGATATCGGGCGTCTCGAAAAAATCGAGACAGAGTTTTTCCATAGTTTTGTGGGCCTCTCGGGGCCCTCGCTGGGCCTCGGGACCGTCAAAAAACGACTCGGGATGAAAAACCGGTCCCAGGGAAGTGGTCGGGAGGTCGGGGGCCCGCGTCTCGAAAAAATCGAGACGTCGGATGTTTGGGATCGACCCCCAATCGCGCATTCCTCCTCCTCCTGATTTGCCGTAGCCATTTTGGCTCAAGCGCGAGGCGGCGCCGCCCGTGGCTCTGGCGCGCGCCGCGATGGCCGGGACGGCTTCCCGCCGACGGTCCACTGGCGGCCGCGCGCTGGCCCTCTTTGCGGCGCTGCGCGCGTCCCGCCGACGGTCCACGGCGGCCCGTGCCGCCTTCGCCGCGGCGCCGCGGCGGCGGCGGCGGCGGCGGCGGCGGCGGAGGAGGAGGAGGAGGAGGAGGAGGAGGAGGAGGAGGAGGAAGAGAGGGAGGAGGAGGAGGAGGAAGAGGAGAAGGAGGAGGAGGAGGAGGAAGAGGAGCAGGAGGAGGAGGAGCAGGAGAAGGAGGAGAGGAGGAGGAGGAGGAGGAGGAGGAGGAGGAGGAGGAGGAGGAGGAGGAGGAGGAGGAGGAGGCATCAAGGCCTGCCCTGGCAGCCGAAGTGGAGCGGAGCGCTGAGCGTTCCAAACTGGGCCCCTCCTAATCACGTCTCCGCACAACGTGCAGACAGGGTTCTCGGCCATGCCTCCATGAACACGTCGCACCAGGTGGAGCGTCGACCCCGCCTGGTTTCTACACTCCTCGATCGTGCGCCCGTCGTCCAAGAGCACGCAGCCGCTGGTCGTCCACAGGGATGCTGAGGATATGAGCCTTCACGGCGAGTATGGTGTCCGTGGCCTCCACATTCATAGTGAACGTCGCCCCCGTCAACAGCCTCACGATGATCTGCCTCTGGTGACGCGGTGGCACAACGTCAGGTGCAGCGTCGGCTCTTGCTCGCTCCAGGATTTTGTAGCCCTGGATGTCCTCCTTGTCCTGGATCGCCGTGTCGCTTCCACCAGGATCAGCGGGACGCCGAAGACGAACGGCATCAGGCGCAGCGTCGGCTCCATCCCCTCCCCGGTCATCTGCTGCGCTCGTCTGCAGCGCCCGCAAAGCCTGAGGGCGCGTGTCTCCCTGCCGGCGCCACCAGCCAGCAACGTTAGATGGAGCGCCTGGCGGTTGCGAGTTCTCATCCTGGGGTCCCGGCGTTTCGCCCTGCCCATGTCTCCGTGGCCGCGCGCGCATCTCTCCCTCGCCAGTGGGGGTTTCGGCCCTGAGGCTTGACCGGAGGTTGGACAGAAGGGCTTGCTGGGCATGCTCGAGACGCAGCGCTGGTCACCGAGAGCCAGCCAGGTCGGCGGCAAGGGCGACGGCGTCACCTCCGGCCTCAATGACCCGCAGCCCAGCGGCCATGCGGTGATGCTAGGGGACGATGAGGGTGATACGGCGCATGCAGGGGGAGGTAGGACGGGAAATGGTAGGAACACGCTCACTCTGTCATCACATCTCGTCGCAGCTCATGTCAGTAAATCCCACATCTCGCGCCACGAAGGCGTCGTTTTCCCTCGCTGTTCCCGTGCTGCTGGGAGCTCAGTGGCGGCCCCGTGCTGGCGCGGAGATCGTCGAGCAGCGCCGCGCTGCTGGCCATCAAACGCCCGCGTCCACGGCCAGACAGGTCCATGTGGAGCCACCTGCTGCGGTCCCTCCCACGGGCTGCCCCCGCGCACTCAGAACACTGGACCATGCCCATCCTCGCTGTCCAGCATGGTGGCATACCTCCAAATGCGATTGGCACGATCTCAACACCATTGTGGCGGACAAATGCACCGAACGGAAGTCGTCTCCTGGCAGCGGGAGCAAACCACGCGGCCCGCCCAGGCGCGTCGCCGCCGCCGGACCAAAAAACCTCGTAAGAGGTGGCACAAGCGGCTCCACTCACGCTGCACGTCCACCTCGGGGAGTGCTGCTGGTGCCGCGAGGAGCCGACTCGGCGATAGCGACACAGGTGCGTCGGGCAGCGGGTCTGTCCAGATGCCCCCGTGCTCGAGCACTTGCCAATCCGTGCACTTCACTGCGCGACGGTCTGGGGGGAGCGTGAGGTTGGCGAGCGTGTCGATCCAGACGCCGAGCCCCCACTCCGACCTGACCTCCACGGCTGCGCGTGCGCCCTGCAGAACGACGCGGCGAGCGTGGACTTGCGCATGGCGCTGGAAATCGAAAGTGACGCCAGCGCTGCCCCAGCGGAGGCGCAAGCTACCGATCCACCCGTCGAGGAGCCAGCCTGCCGAAAGCGTGCCCCGCAACAAAGCCCGAGTGACGATCCGCACGGGGAGTGGTTGGTCAGACGCCTCTGTGAGGCTGCTGAGGAGCTTCTCCAGCAAGCCGAGGCCAGTGACCTGTCCCAGATCAGCGCCCCGCAGGCTGTCGAGGAGGCAGTCGTTGCCGAGCAGGTCCAGTGCCCGGAACTGCCAGGCTGAGCGGCGGAGAGAACACAAGTACGGGTCGTGGATGGTGACGCTGCTGGCTTGCACTCTCGCTGCCCATCGGCCGGACAGTGACCGCAGGTCGTGGCCCTGGGAGTGGAAAGCGAAGACGGCGTGCTCGAGGAGTCGCGGGGCCCCTGTGTCGCACGCCTGTCTGTCAATGGACCCCGTGTGACTGAATCTGCAGCGGCCGATGGCATGCCATGGGCAGCCCAACCCATGCCTGCACAGCACGGTCCGCCGGCTTCCCTGGCCAAGGGCCCGCTTAGGCGACGGGCGACGGCCTCGCGAGTCGAAAAGCGTTCCCCGAGCAGCAACGCCGGTCCGGCGGCGGGAGAGGGCCTGCCGCCAAGCACGCTGGATGGCCAGTACATGCACGGCGTCGCGGCCAGCCACGTCTCCAGGCTCTCCGTCGGGACACCGCCCGCCGACTGCAGAGTGGGCCTCCTCGGTCTGAAGCGGTACGGCGTCCAAGTCACTCTGGGGCGGCACGGCACGTACTCTGGAGCGTCCGCGCGCCTCCGGCGGGCCCACTGCCGGCGAGGTGCGCGTCGCGCCCCGCGCTGGAGGCGCCTGCAGTCCGTGGTCGTCAGCGTCGCGAAGCTCTGGGTGAGGTTGAACGGGTGCGACGCCACGTTGCGGGTGATCACGGCGTCGGCGCTGGCAGCCGTAGCCGGGCGGGAGGCCCCCGCGGCAAGCTGGGCCCGCAGCACCACCTCTACGGCAGCCATCCTCTGGGCAAGGTCATGCTCAAAGGACTCGCCGAAAGAGCCTTGGCCACACGACTGGGCGGCAGCCTCGACCTTACGCTGCAACACTCTGACAGCAGCGGCGACGTCGTTGAAAGAAGCGCGTCGACCCATGCCGCGTGCATGCACTGCTCACGTAGCCATCAGAAGGCGAAAACCCACCCCCACCCCCAGTCCCGACGCCCATCCCCGAGCCGGCGATTCAAGGGGTCGGGCCTGGGGGTTGGGGGTGGGTTTTCTCCATTCTTGGACCCCGAAAACCCACCCCCACCCCCAGTCCCGACTCCTTGAATCGCGGGTTCGGGGATGGAGTCGGGACTGGGGGTTGGGGGTGGGTTTTCGCATTCTCAAGCCAACAGTGCACTTTCACAGAGGAGGTGCGCGCGTGCAAACACACACAAACACAAACACAGACACAAACACAAACACAAGCATAATCACAAACACAGACATCAACACACAATCACAATCACAATCACAAACACAAACACGCACACGAATACAAACACAACCACAACCACATCCACAACCACAACCACGACCACGACCACGACCACGACCACGACCACAACCACAAACACAAACACAGAGACACACACACACATCATCATCCTCACGCTGCTCCCTGAGAGGAACGCTCTGGGGGGACCGGCTCAGGGGGAAACGTTGACTAGGATTCGGTCATAAACATCGCCGATACATCGGCGACAGGCTCCCGACAACGAAAACGCACGCTCCTGGGCGGGGAACGCCATCGGGCCCCTGTCGGCGATGAATGCGGGATCGGGGGTCGATGGGTACCCCTGAGCCCATCCCCCCTAGCGTTGCACCCGAAGCCCCCTCCCACCCGAGCGCTGCTCTTCGCTCCTGCCCGTCGCCAGGCCGTGGAGGACTACCCCCCGACGCCGCCGCCGCCGCCGCGGCGGTGAGTCTGGCCTGTGTGAGGGCGCGTGTCGAGGGCGCGCGCGAGAAAGCTGCCGCTGCCGAGGCGAAGAGGAGGAGGAGAAGGAGGAGGAGGAGGAGGAGGAGGAGGAGGAGGAGGACCAGTGTAAACCCAAGAGTCATCAACTGTGTTCGAATAAACCCTCCCTCCAAGCTCCCTCTCTTCATAGGCCCCTACAGTGGTTCATTTGCACCGGAGGAGCTGCCACGTTGGAAGACACCCGCTTGAAGACCCTGAAGCATGCCAAAATATTGTTCCCGGGATTCAAAAGCCACGGATCAACTTGACTGTTGCGTCTTGACGATCATGAATTGCGGCAGAACGCCATTTCTGGGACTTCAACTCCGCGTATCAATGTAACTGTTGCACTTCGTGATCTTAAACCGTTTCTGGTATGGTGATCATGGGAACCCGTGAAACTTTTCCAAATTACAAAAAACGAATGTGCGCGGCGCTGAGGCGAGAGCCACATTTTGAAAAGGGACCGCCCTCAATCCGTGAAACATTTGAACATTTTTAAAACGAATGTGCGTGGCGCTAATGCGTGAGCCACATTTCAAAAAGGAACAGCCCTCAATTCGCGAAACTCTTGCACATATTTAGAACGAATGCGCGCGGCGCTGAGGCGAGAGCCACATTTTCAAACGACCCGCCCTCCATTTGTGAAACTGTTGCCATTTTTTGAAAGCTTCAGGGTCAGAAGTGGTGAGGAGCTCTCAGGCGAAAGGCCCGGGCCGCGCTAAAAACTGGCCTTTGCGACAGGGAGAAGTTACGTGTAAGGAAAAGGAATGGAGGAGGAGAAGGAAGATGAGGAAGAGGAGAAGGAGCAGCAGGTGGAGGAGGAGGAGGATGAAGGAGGTGGAGTGGGATGGGGGAGGGAAGAGGAGGAGGAGGAGGAGAAGGAGGAGGAGGAAGAGGAGGAGGAGGAGGATGAAGGGGAGAAGGAGGCGGATGGGAGGAGGAGGAGGGGAGGGGAGCAGGAGGAGGAGGAGGAGGAGGATGAGGAGGAGGACGAGGAGGAGGAAGGAGGAGGAGGAGGAGGAGGAGGAGGGGGAGGGGGGGGGAGGAGGAGGAGGAGGAGGAGGAGGAGGAGGAGGAGGAGGAGGAGGAGGAGGAAGAGGAGGAGGAGAAGGAGAACCAGTGGAAGCCCAAGAGCCATCAACGATGTTGGAATAAACCCTCCCTCCAAGCTCCCTCCGCACAGGCCCCTAGAACGGTTTATTTCCACTAGGGGAGCTGCCTCGTTTGGACCCTGAAGCATGCCTACGCATTGTCTTCGAGATTCCAACGCCACGGATCAACCTGACTGTTGCGTCTTGACGATCTTGAATCGTGCCACAACATCATCCCTGGGACTACCACACCGCGAACCAGCGTAACTGTTGCACCTCATAGTCTTGAACCCGTCCCAAACACCATTTCTGGTTTGTTGATCATGGGAAGCCGTGACACCCTTTCAGCTTAACAAATCTAATGTGCGCGGCCACAAGGCGAGAGCCACATGTTGAACAAGACACCGCCCCCAACCCATGAAACTCTTGCAATGTTTAAGAACGAATGCGCGCGACGCTAAGGCGAGAGCCACGTTTTTTCGAAAACCACCCGCCCTCAATCCGTGAATCTCTAGCAATTTTTGAAATCGAATGCGCGCGGCGCTAAGGCCAGAGCCACGTTTTGACATCCACCCGCCCTCAATCCGCGAAGCCCTGGCATTTTTTCAAACGGGTATGCGCGGCGCTAATGTGAGAGCCACATTCTGAAGTCGACCCGACCTCAATCCGTGAAACTCTTGCATTTTCCAAAAAGCGAATGTGCGCGGCGCTAAGCTAATGCGAGAGCCACATTTTGAACACGACCCGCCCTCCCTTTGTGAAACTGTTGTCAGCTTTTCAGCTTCAGGGCCACCAGTGGTGAGGAAGTCTCAGGCGAAACGCCCGCTCCGCCTAAAAAACTCGCCTCGGGGTGCGACAGGGAGAAGTTACGCACAAGGAGGAGGAAGGGGGAGGATGAGAAGGAGGAGGAGGAGGATCATGAGGAGGACGAGGAGGAGGATCATGAGGAGGGCGACGATGATGCTGATGCTGCTGCTGCTGCTGATGATTATGATGATGATGCTGATGATGCTGATGATGATGATGCTGATGCTGATGCTGCTGCTGCTGCTGATGATGATGATGATGATGATGATGATGATGATGATGATGAAACTGATGCTGATGCTGATGCTGATGCCGAGGAGGAGGAGGATGAGGAGGAGGAGCAGGAGGAGGAGGAGTAAGAGGAGGAGGAGGAGGAGGAGGAGGAGGAGGAGGAGGAGGAGGAGGAGGAGGAGGAGGAGGAGGAGGAGGAGTTGGCACGCGCGCCGGGCACTTTCGTCACTGCCAGAGCCCTTCTTCGGACAGCGACACGCCTGCCCTTTGCACAGGGTGTCCGCCACATCGAGCCCCAACTTATTAGGTGCACCACGTCCTGATCAGACCGAGGAAAAGGAGGAGGAAGAGAAGGATGATGATGATGATGATGATGATGAGGACGAGGATGAGGATGAGGGTGACGATGATGCTGCTGACGATACCGCTGATGACGCTGATGATGCTGACGATGCTGATAATGATGATTATGCTGATGAAGATGATGATGCTGCTGCTGATGATGATGACGATGATGATGCTGCTGCTGCTGCTGATGATGATGATGATGATGATGATCATGATGATGCTGATGATGATGCTGATGACGATGATGATGATGATGATGATGATGATGATGATGATGATGATGATGATGCTGATTATGATGATGATGATGATGATGATGATGATGATGATGATGCTACTGCTGCTGCTGCTGATGATGGTGGTGGTGGTGGTGATGATGCTGATGATGCTGCTGATGATGACGATGACGATGATGCTGGTGATGGTGGTGGTGGTGGTGGTGATCATGATGAGGAGGAGGAGCAGGACTTGGACGTGGACGTGGACGCGGACGTGGACGAGGATGAGGATGAGGAGAAGGAGAAGGAGACGGAGGAGGAGAAGGAGGAGGAGGAGGAGGAGGAGGAGGAGGAGGAGGAGTTGTCATGCGCGCTGGGCACTTGCGCAACTGCCAGAACCTTACTTCGGACAACGACACGCCTGCCCTTTGCACAGCAGGCTGGCCACAACGCGCCCCAATGGGTGCGCCACGACCTGATCAGACCAGGAGGAAAAGGAGGAGGAGGAGGAGGAGGAGGAGGAGGAGGAAGAGGAGGAAGAGGAAGAAGAGGATGAGGAGGCATTGGGTCAGGACGGGGAATGATGCCGAGCCTAGTGGCGCAACATCCGCATGGGGGGTCGGATGTTGAAAGTTGGCACCAGGCGCAGGCGTGTCCCCGGGCGGACGGGGAAGGTCGTGACCCATGCCCCTCGGCAGCCAGCGGGCGCCAATGTACACGGGGCGCTGTTCGAAACGTCGGCCTATTTGATTCAGATTGAGATGCTGTAGCCGGCGTTTCGGGGGAGCGCGTCGATTTCGGCCATATCTGGAATGCACTGATGGCCAGCCTGTGGCAAGCTCACTGCGCTGCTCCGTATGGCCAATTTCTTGGCAGGCTTGCAGTCCAGAGCTCATGCCAGCGACAAAGCGTGCAAGCGGGCCCAGGCGGGGCCGAAGGCAAAGGCGTGGGGGTCTTTGGAACTCGCGCCTGGGCGCTGGCCTTATCGTCATACTTGTTCGGACCCAGTAGACATTCAACCAGAGACACGAAGGCACTGCTCCTGGCAGTTGGCGCCAGATTCTGGGCGCAACGATATTGGGAAGCCACCAGGGAGGGCCGAACAAGTGCACGACGGAAACGGAAGTCTGGTTTCTAAGTTTTTTGTTTGTTTGTGTTTCTAGCCCCTGGCCGAAGGAACTGCACCATACAGTGGAGGCCCCTGCCAAGAAACATCCTGCTTGCCTCCAGGGTGCCCTGGGTTTCTTTGGTTTCGATGGTTTTGCGATGGAGATCGTGACGTTCCCACACCAAAAATCAATGGACGTCCTGGGGTCTCAGAGTTGGGTTTCTTGTGGAAGGTTTCTTGTGGACTGACCTCCGCTGTATATGTATGTATGTATGTATGTCTGTCTGTCTGTCTGTATGCATGCATGCATGCATGCATGCATGTATGTATGTATGTATGTATGTATGTATGTATGTATGTATGTATGTATGTATGTATGTATGTATGTATGTATGTATGTATGTATGTATGTATGTATGTATTTATGTATATTTGTATGTATGTTTGTATGTATGTATATATGCATGCATGCACGCATGCATGCATGCATGCATGCATGCATGCATGTATGTATGTATGTATGTATGTATGTATGTATGTATGTATGTATGTATATATATATATATATATATCTGAAGCGCTGCTCGGTCCTCTGGTGCCTTTTCTTACCTCGCGCGAGGAAGCCTGGTTGTCGCCAAGGGTTTTCGCAGAGGCGCTATGCCGGCTAGAGGCCAGGGCTTCGGCCGCAGCGCCGATGGGCAAGCCCCAGGGCGAGATGGGCCTTGCCCCGCGATATATCTGTTGACGAAGGGATTGCAGCTGTTATGACGATCAAACAAATCCCTAACTATGGAGGGGTACCCTCATATTCTTCATGTTTGGGATGTTTTTCGTTTGGGGCATCTCCATAGGGGTCTTGTGCCTTCGGCTAAGGGTCTCGTGCTTTTGACCTGAGTCCTTGTGGCCACGTGCCGACAGTAAGAGGAGGACGGGGCAGGCGTGCCTGCCGGAGCCATGTGTGCACGACCAGCCCCCGCAGCGCGCGGCGCCCAGTGCTGGCGCGGGCGCTGCCCGCGATCGGCTCGCTGCAGCGTCGGGCTGTGCGCTGGCGCCGTGGGCCTGGATGCGCTGAGGGGCCCTCTGGTTGCGGCAGCGGCCGCCCCTGCGGCGCCGAGCCAACCCCCTTACGCGGATTCGGTGCCGTTCGGGCCGCCGCTGGACGCGCTGCTGGCTGCGGCCGGGCCGCTCGTGGGCGCGGAGCAGGCCAGGGACCTGCGCCAGCTCTCCTCGGATGCCGCCCACGCCCGCAGCTGCCTCGAGCCCGTGGAGCTCCTGCGGGCGGCGCGGCTGCTGGCAGCGTCTGCGGCCGCCTCGCTGAGCGGCGAGGCCGCGGCAGCCGCGGCAGTCCCAGCAGGGGCAGCGCGAGGTGCCATCGCTGACGACCACGGGCAGGTCCTGGCTCTACTGCACAGCTCGGTGGCTGTGGCCCGCGCGCTGCTGTCTCTGCAGGCGGCGCTGCTGCGGCACCGCGCAGAGTGCTTCCCCTGGGGCTTCCGCAGGCCCTTGCTCGACGGCCTGCTCGAGTGGGCATCGCTCGCCCGTGCAGCTCAGGCAGCGCAGTGGTGCGCCGTCCACTACGGCGACGCGGCTGGTGGCTGCTGGGGATCTCCTGGGGCCGCGCGCCCGAAAGGCGCGCCGATCCGTCCAGCCGATGGCGGCCCGCTCGAGCTTCTGCGCGCGATCGCGGAGCTCATCGCTGGAACGGGCCCCTACGGCGCGGGCCGCTGCGGCGACGCCGGGGCGTCTGAGGCAGCAGCTGACGGCCAGCTGCCCTCCGTCCAGCCCGACAACCTCGGGAGGACCGGCGTCTTCGACAACCACGAGTGGCTGCGCCGGACCTCGAAGAAGAAAAGCATCAGCACAAACTTTCGGAAGTCCGCGCTAGAACCCCCTGCCTGGCGCTCGGAGCGCGCCAGGGGCGGTGCCCGAGACGCCGCCAGAACCGACGCAAGACATCCGCGTGGACCTCCGAACGGTTTCTACTAGTGCCCCTTTGCTGCTCCTCCAGAACCGCGTTCGGCGGCTGGTTTCTCGACCGAGGGCTGATGGCGCAGGTCCTGCGGGAGATCCTGGCGGGGGCCGGGCCCGTGCAGGAGGACCCCGGCGACGGCGGCGTGCCCGTCCTGCTCGACCTGGGGGCGGGCGCCGGCGGCTACGCCGCCTTCCTCAACAGGACCGGGCTGGTCTCCGCCCTCTCGACTACATGTAAGAGTGACCCTTCGCTGGAGTGGACTTGGGTGCGGGCTTACCCGGGACACCCCCCTCTCGTTGAGTGCGATGCGATACCGGCTGCTTGCGCTCTTAGATTTGGCCACTTTGCGCCCTCTAGATCCGCGCACGAAAGGTCACTCTTGCCCAGGGTCACTCTTGCGTGTAGCCGAGCCCTCGCGTACGACGCGACCCCGGACGTCGAGTGCCTCTCAGAGGGCCAGGTGCGCCACCTCGACCTATCCGAACCGCTGCCTCGGCGCGGCGCGCCGGAGCCCGCCGCCTGGGTGCTGTGCCTCGAGGTCGCGGAGCACATCCCGCCTGCGCGCGAGGAGACCTTCGTGCGCAACCTCTCGAGGAAGAAAATGGCAGCGCAGGCGCAAACTTTCGGACGTCCGCGCTGATGGCTCGGATCTGCGCTGGACTGCCCTGGAGACGCGCCTCTGGCGCGCCAGGGAGGGGGGCCTAGCGCAGATCCAAGACATCCGCGCGGACCTCCGAACGTTTATGCTTACAGTCGGACCGAGGTAGAAGATCGAGGTCGGTTCGGGGAGGGTGCCCTAGTGTTCTCGTTTGTTGGATGTTCCTGTGCATCCTGGGGAGGGTCCCCTTGGATGTCCTGTCTGTTTTGGCCGACGGAGGGTCATGTTCTTGTTCTTCTGGCCTAGGTCCGACTGTATGCCGTCTTTTGTTGCTCTAACCTCGGGTCTCTCGTGGGCCACGCGCTCGTGCTCAGCTGGGCGCCTCCGGAGAAGTGCGGCCTCGGCTGGGGGCACCTGAACTGCCGAGACCCGCCGGCGGTGGAGGGGCTGCTCTCGAGCATCGCAGGGCTGGTCAAGGAGCGCGGGCCCAAACGGCGTAGTGACCACACCGCGCGGTCAATCAGTGGGGATTCGTGGTCACCGCACTGTTTTGGAATTCGCGTCGTTCTCCGAGGACGTCTCGAGCAACCGGGGCCTCCGAGGCCCCAAGACCGTGCGGTGACGGACCGCGCGGTCAGGTCTCTTCCCAGACATCCGGCCGCTCCAATTTCCAGTTTTTTCAATGCGTGGGCCCTGGAGGCCTGGACCACTTCCCTGGGACCGGCTTTTCGTCCTGAGTAGTTTTTTCGAGGGCCCTTGGTGGCCGAAAACGGCTCAAAACTGGCCGCTCCGATTTTGTCGGATCGTCGGATATCTGGCAGCCTCCGAACCGAAGGTTTTTTTCAAATTGGGTCACCAGGTCACTGGGTCAAGTGACCCACACAGCCGGGTCACCGTGTCACCGGGTCAACTGACCCACACCACAGGGTCGCCGGGCCACCAGGTCACCAGGTCGGCTGACCCACACCACCGAGACACCGGGTCACCGGGTCACTGGGTAACCGGGTCACTGGGTCACGGCGTCACCGGGTCTACTGACCAACACCACCGGGTCACAGGGTCACCGGGTCACCGGGTCACCAGGTCACTGGGTCCACGGGTCACCTAGGTCACCCGGTCACCAGGTCATGGGCCACCTGGTAACAGGGTCACTGGGTCACCGAGTCACCAGGTCACCGGGTCACCGGGTCACCAGGTCACCGGGTCACCGAGACACCATGGGTCACCGGGTCACTGGGTCACCGTGGCACCGGGTCACCGGGTCACTGGGTCACCGGGTCAACGGTTCACCGGGTCACCGGGTCACCGGGTCACCAGGTCGCTGGGTCACCGGTCACCGGGTCACCAGGTCACCGGTTCACCGCGTCACGTGGTCAGGGTCACCGGGTCACCGGATCACTGGGTCACAGGGTCACCCATTGCAGTTACATGTTATTGGGTGGGTCAACGGATCACCAGGTCACCGGGTTACCGAATTACCGAGGTTGTGGGTCACTATAGGTCACCCCGTCACAGTGTCATTGGGTCATTGTGTCACGGGGTTTTGGGGTCACCTGGTCACTGGGTCACCGGGTCATTGGGTCACTGGGCCACCGGGTCACGAGGTCGTTGGGTCACTGGGTAATGCACTGGGTCAATTGACACCACCAGGTCACTGGGTTACCGGGTCACCGGGTCAACGGGGTCACCGGGTCACCAGGTCACCGGGTCACCGGGTCACTGGGTCACCGGGTCAAAGGATCACTCAGTCACCCGCGGGTCACCAGGTGGTCACTGGGTCACCGGGTCTCGGGGTTATCGGGTCACCGGGTCACCAGATCATTGGATCATGGTCACCGGGTCACCAGGTTGCTGGGTCTCCGGGTCACCGGGTCACCGGGTCACTGGGTCACTGGGTCACGGGGTCACCAGTTCATAGTGTTACCGAGTCACTGCAACGTGTCACGGGGTTTTTGGGTCACCAGGTCACTGGGTCACTGGGTCACCTGGTTTTGACCACGCCACCGGGTCACCGGGTCACCAGGAATTTTTGACCCACGCCACCGGGTCACCGGGTCACGGGGTCACCACCTGGGTCAGCGGGTAACCGTATCCCTAGGTCATCGGGTCACCGGATCACACAGTCACCGGGTCACCGGGTCAATCGGTCACTGAGGCACCAGGTCACCAGATCATTGGGCCACCGGGTCACCGGGTCACCGTCTCACCGGGTCACCAGGGCACCGGGTCACCGGGTCACCAGGTCTGCAGGTCACCGGGTCACGGGGTCACACGGACGTCAGCAGATGCCAGGTCAGTTGGTCACCGGGTCACCGGGTCACCGGTTCACTGGGTCACCGGGTCACATGGGTCGCCGGGCCACCAGTTCACCGGATCACCGGGTCAACGGGTCACCGGGTCACCAGGTCACCGGGTCACCGGGTCACGGGGTCACCGGGTCACCGGGTCACGGGGTCACAGGGTTACCAGGATTTTTGACTGGGTCATGCAACGGTTCACTGGGTCACCAGGTCACTGAGTCACCGGGTCACCTGATCACAGGGTCACCAGATCACAGGATGTCTTGGTCACCTTGTCAACGGGTTACCAGGACACCCGGATTTTTGATCCATGCACTGGGTCACCAGATCACTTGGTCACCGGGTCACCGGGTCACTGGGTCACCGCGGGTCACCTGGTCACCGGGTCACCAGATCACCGGATTGCTGGGTCACCGGGTCACCGGGTCACCGGCTTATTGGGTCAGCGGGTCAGCAGGTCACCGACCCAATGAGCAAAAGCCTCTAGTTCACATCCACGCGGATATTCGGGTTGGGATTTCGAGGTCACCGCGCGGTCCGTCGCCACACGCGTATGATGCCCCGAGAGGACGAGGAGGGCACCCTTCGCCTGCGCGCGGCGGCGGAGCTGCCCTGGCTGCGAGGCGGCGTGCTGATGCTGCGCCGCGGGCGGGAGCCGGAGGCCCGGGGCGCCCCCAGGGGTGGTCGGCACGTAAGAGTGACACTTCGCCAGAGCGATCTCTGCTCACCGAGCGGGTTCCACTACTCGTAAAGTGCCTGCTCGCAAACGTCCGAAAGCATATGTTCGTCTCGTTGTAATGGATCGCAGATCCCTCGCGCCAGATCCAGGCTCTTTGCGAGTACTTTGCGAGTAGTGGAGCGCGCTTCTTTATTTGGTGCGGGCACTCTGGGGTCCCCAGATGGCTGAATGCGATGCGATAGCAGCGGCTTCCGCGCTCGGGGCGGGCATCTCAGCGCCCCCCCTTACGCCGCGCACCAAAGGTCACTCTTGCCCAGGGTCGCTCTTGCGTGTAGCCCAGGTGGGAGCCTGAGGGGTTTCAGACCTAGGGACCCAACGCTCCACAGCAATTGGAGCCGTACGTTTTTGGCCGTTTTCGGCCTCTGGGGGCCCTCGCCGGGCCTCTGGGCCGTCAAAAAACGACTCTGGACGAGAAGCCGGTCCCAGGGAAGTGGTCCAGACCTCCAGGGCCCACGCATCGAACAAATTGGGGCGACTGGAGGGAAGGCCTGACGAAATCGGAGGCGACGATGAGGTGAGGGCAATAGTCCAGGGGCGGGCATGACACGTCTGCGCCCTGCCTCACCGAAGGCATGCACCATCGGCGCCCCTGGATATATTTCTTGCTCTCCCCTGGGCTATTCAACCCCATCATTGCCCTAGAGGGAAAGCCCGAGGAATAGCCTGAGGGGAACCCTGAGGGGAACCCTGAGGGAAAGCCTGAGGGGAACCCCGAGGGGCTCCATGAGGGAAAACCTGAGCGAAAGATTGAGGGGAACCCCAAGGGGAACCCTGAGGGAAAGCTTGAGGGCCCCCCTGAGAGCAAGCCTCATGGAAAGCCTGAGGGGAATCCTGAGGGCAACCATGAGATGAACCATGAGGGACTCCAGAAGGAACACATTGACGGGAACCCCGAGGGAAAGCCCGAGGGAAAGCCCGAGGGGAGCCCTGAGGGAAAGCCTGAGGGAAAGCCTGACAGGAACCCCGACGAGAAGTCTGATGAGAACCCTGAGGGACTCCATAAGGGAAGCTCTGAGGGGGGCCCTGAGGTAAAGCCTGAGGGAAAGCCTGATGGGAACCCTGAGGAAAGCCTGAGGGAAACCCCGAGGGAACGCCAGAGGGAAAGCTTGCGGGAAGCCCCGAGGGAAAGCCTGAAGGGAACCTTCAGGGAATGCCTGAGGGGAACCCACATGGAACGCCTGAGGGGAACCCTGAAGGGAAAGCCTGATGGAAAACCTGATAGGAACCCTGAGGGCAAGGCTGAGGGAACGTCTTAGGGGAATCCAGAGGGACAGCCTCAGGGAAACCCTGAGGGGAAAACCTGCGGGAAAGCCTGCGGGAAAGCCTGAGGGGAAGTCTGAGGGACCGCCTCATGGGAACCCTGAGGGAAAACCTGACGGGAACCCTGAGGGTAATTCTGAGGCAAAGCCTGAGGAGAACCCTGAGGGGAACCCAGAGGGAAAGCCTGATGAGGCACCCTGAGGGGAAAGCCTGAGGGGCAGCCTGAGGGGAGCCCTGAGGGACAGCAGGATGGAAAGGCGAATGGGAACCCTGAGGGCAAGCCTGATGGTGTATTCTGAAGGGAACCGTGAGGGATAACCTGAGGGGAGCCCGGCGGGAAAGCTTGAGATAAAGCTTGGGAGGTACCCTGACGGAAAAACTGAGGGAGAGCCCAAGGGGAAACCTAAGGAGAAAGCCCGAGGGGAACCCTGAGGCACTCTATGAGGAAACCTCTGAGAGGGGGCCCTAATGGAAAGCCTGAGGGACAGCCTGAGGGAAACCCAGAGGGGGAAGCCCGAATGGAAGCCTGATGGGAACCCTGAGGGAAAGCCCGAGGGAACGCCCGATGAGTTGTTCAGCATCTTCCTCTGCCGTCTCTGTGCCGCCGCCGCTGCCCGCTGCCGTTTCACCACACTGTGCTTCCATAGCTGTAACTGAATTCCTTTAAAGGACAGGACAAGCTGGCACCGCGGGCCAGATGCACGCGCGTGAAAAAATGGAACGCGTCGGGTCGTCGCCGTGTCGCCGTGTCCTTTCCCGTGTGCACATATCCTTTACATGCCAGCTTAACGGATTTTTCCATTATGCCGATACGAGAAGCCCAGAGCAGTAGTAAAATACATCTTGCTTAACCTTCACGCCCCACATTTGCTGAGGATCCTGTTCCTCTGGCAAATAACTGGTTACTCGCCGAATTAATAATGATTGCATCCGATGCGTAGATGGACACGAGTGAAACTTCCGGCGTAAATATACAGTCTGCCACAGCCGATTGTTCGTCAAGTAACACCGTACCAGACTTCGTGGGCCAGCCATCCCCGAACGTTCTTCCAACATCGCTCATGGATGAACCGTTCGTGCAAGTTCTGGGAGACGCCTCGGCGTTGGTTCAACCGGTAGCTCAAGGCAGCAACGTCGAACATGATCCTCGTCCGCCACGGGTTGAGACGACATAAATTTTTAATTTTCGTCGGCCAAAGGAGGAGGACATGCCGCAGTGACTTTGATGGAGCACGTAAGAGATGCTACCGGGGAAACCCCAGTGCTGAAGCAAACTAAACGTACTAGTCGAAATCAGCATGGAACACGAATCGCCGATGCAGGTTTGCAGTTTAACTGGGAGCTCAGCAGAAGCTAGAACTAGTTCCGTGATACAGGAAGTTGAGGGGGCACATGATTAACCCATGTCGCCGCCTACGTGTGCTGGGCGCCAGACGTTCAAATCCCCGTTGATGTTTAGATTTCGTGGGGTCGAGAAACAGCCAGGACACGCGTGACTCGTCGTCGGGTCGCATCTCGATCAGGGTAGCTTGTTGGGCACAAGGATCACGATGCCAGACCGCGGCAGAAAACGCATGCCCTGACGGTCCGTGCCTTCGCCTCGCTTATATGCGTTACTAACTGCAGGCTTCCGTAGAAGCGGCGAAGAGCTCTGAGCCAAGTGTGGAAGTTGTTCTCCAAGGGCGGCCAAGGCTGCTGCAATGATACAGCATGTCAAGGAGGAAGCGTCTGCTGCGGAGCAGAAGGCAACCCTCCAGGAGCGAACTGCACTTGAACGCATGAGGAGGACGAAGGAAGACATTGGCAAGCTGGGCGAGGACATTCGCAGACAACAACAAGCAAACGTAGACCTAGAGGCCGTGCGTAATATTCGATCTCACAATGAGTTGGCTAAGCGAGAGGGCTTTTCGGCGTTGCAGGTTCAACCTGTGGTGCCCAGTGGTTGTTTCAAACCCATCGGCCAGCTATTCCTGATCGCAGGTTTAACCTATGACTGTGTGGGAACATCTGCTGACGTTGCGGGCTCAGCCTGCGACGCCAGGGCAGCCGAGCAGCCAGATTCTGGGATTGAGCCTCCGAAGCGAACTCAGGAGCGTGCGTCCGCCGTCGCCGAGCGAGGCAGCCATTGCACCAGCCTTGGCGGGTGGTCAGGCAGACAGGGCTACCTCCCTTCGAGTAGGGCGTCCGCGAATGATTGCAGCTTCGAGAAATTTGGAGATCTGCCATTTTCGCGCGCTGCCATGGCATGAGAATTGTGCTCAATGCTCCATTTTGTTGTGCAAGGATCATGTCGATCTGGCGACCGAGCGGCGAGGGGTGTGCATTCGGGAGAAACTAGAAGCAGAGGCAGAATACAGTGCATGGAGATTTGATGAGGAGCGTAGACGATCGCGGCAATTGCAAGCAGAAGTGAGGATGGCTACCCTCGTAAAACATCAGACAAACTTGCAGGAGGCAGCCCGGAAAGAGAAAGGGGAGGCTCGAAAAGGCCAAACAGTCCTATGAAGAAATGCGGAATCGCCGGATGACTCACCTAAACCAAAGGTCGCCGATTGGACATCTCCCGCAGCCTTAGAGAACTTATTCGCAGGAGTGCAGAGTTTTCCAGAATGGGTGGGCCCGCCGCAGGATCCCGCGCGGCGGGGGGGGGGAGGTGGGGGCAGTGGAGATCCAGGACCGCCGGCCTCTGCCCGCGACCCTTTGGACTATCGGGGACTGGCGGGAAGGGCCGCGGAGATCAAGTTGTCGCCCATGCCGCAGCCAACGATGCTTCGCGACTCGACCCTACGCGCGGCGAGGATAATTTCTCCCGCGTCTCCAGATGCGATGGGCGCCCAATCCTGGATTGCTGAAGCTGTGAGCCCAGAGGTGGATTCTGTGACCCCCGGGGGCTGAGGGGGATGCAGAAAAAAGGATCTGCCGGCGCAGCAGCCGCGTCTCTTTGACCAGGTTGACGAATCGCGCTTATTCGCGAGGCGGGGGATTACGCGCCCAATCTGCACTCGACTGTCTGCGCGCACGGAGCGCGGCAGGAACTACTTTTTCCAGACCTGTCATCAACGAGAACCGCCCCGACGAAGACTTGTATCATTTCTATAGCGAACGGATGTCTCCTTATCGTGAACATCACGGGGGGGAGGGGGGGGGGGCGGGGGGGGGGCGGGGGGCAGGCCGCCCCCGGAGATGGCAGCCTCGATGCGTGAACAGTTCCACGGTCACATGGAGCTTGTTCCCAGTTTGCAACCAGCAGTGTCGCATTGCGAGCTTAGCGACGCAAAGTTCTGGACTGATGTCGAGACTTGTGAATGGTTGCTGAGCCACTTGCAGGCGCGCATGGGGAAAAAACGGGGCGAATTGAACTTCGATTTGTTGGGGGGGCAACCGATCAACGAGGTCGTCATGAGAGCGAAAACGCCGTTCCAGGCCCAGCTGCGCACGATGACCCTTTGAGGGGGCCGCTGGCGCAGTCAGCGATGGCCGGGTGAAAATGGGCGCCGCGTGTATTTTTTCCCGGGCGGGGACTTGCCCGAAGAAAAACCAGGGGTGCCTTCTCAGGTGCGAGGGGGCCAAGGCTGCCCCTGCTCCGCAGCCGGCTCAGCTGGGCGTGCCGGCGAAGGATGCTCGGCAGGTAAAGTGGGGGGAATGGGGCAAACCTGAGAGAAGAAACGGCAAGGGCAAGGGCGACCTCCGAGATCGATCGGCGACGCCCGGCCCAAAGGGCTCGAAAGATTCGCCTGCGAGCCCCATCGAAGGAGCAGCGGGCTGAAGTTGCGTTCAGTGCGACCCCCCGCGCTGTAGACAGCGCGGGGGATCGGCGTCGCTGGGGGCCCTGGAGAGGGGCGAGGGGGAGGGTGGTCTGTTGGCGGCGGGGGGGGAGATCGGGTGGACAGGCCGACTCTGCGGCGGCAAATGTCGCCGCGGCGCGCGCCGCTCCCGGATCTGACGCCGGCGGCGAGAAAGGGGGCCAGACAAGTGCTGGCAGCAAAGGGGGTGGCAGAGGCATAGGCGATAGTCCTTGCTGGTCCTGGGCCGAACGCCAGGAATGCCTTCTCGGGGCATGGGTGGCATTGGCCGCCGGGGGTCGATGGTTTAGCCGTCGATCTCCCTGGGGGCGCCGCTCGCCAATTCAACTTTTTGATTATGGGTGTTCTATTCATCCTGTGCGTATGTTGCGCCCTCTCGATCGGTCGCCAGTTCCACCGAAACCTTGCGTCGAGAAGACGTCCCAAGATCGAGGCGATAAGCTGCCGTGATGCTTGCCCAGCCTCATTGAGCCCGCGTTGAGAAAGGGCCCCCTTCTTTTACGCAAGAGATGGAATTTCCCCAGGGAGCCACAGTCTCGAATGACTCTTAAATCAAGATCGTCATCACTTACAGCTACGTTGAGAGCCTCAGAACTTGAGAATGAGGTTCGGGAAATGCGGCTTGAGCGGGGGCGTGGATATGAAAAAACAGTGCCGCCGTAGGCGACCGAGGGACTGGCCGTATTAGCCTTGGTTCGATGTGTTTCATTGATGGCGCGGGCTGTGGTTTAAACCACATAGCGGAAATATTCATGAAGCGTGCCGGCGCTGTGGGTAAGGAGGGGGAATTATCCCCGGGCGTTGCCGTGAACGCTGCTGGGGGCTTCAGGAGGGCCCGAGGCGCAGTCTGCGTGGTATGCAGCAAATTCAGAGATGGTCACCTCATGTTTCGGTCATGCCAGAAAACCCGAGCCTGCTTTCAGCGGGGGGGCGGCGCATCGTGCGCGGTTCAGTTTTTGCAGGCCTGCGGGTCAGACTCCATATCTACTCTTGCCTAATGGACATAGCGTTATCCTGGCCGTTGACAGTGGAATCCCGTATCCGACGTTGTCATGAAGAGAGGCGTTAGGTTAGTGGAGCTGCGCAGTCGCCCAGGAAGCCGTTGCTCTCGAGAGGTGGAGTTGCGTGGTGCCAGGCGCCGTGGTATTTCTAGACGATGTAGAGGCTGCGGGCGGCCCCCCTGCCTGCTCCGTTCAGACGAGCGCAACCGTGGATATGCGCGCGCGAAATTCGATTGCCGCCCGCAGCTACGAGGGCGCGCGACCTGCACAACCGGACGGACCATCGCCGCTAGGTGTAGACTCTGTGGATGTCATCTCCTAGCTCTACTATTCGCTTCAGACCGCCCGTGAGCGCGCCTGGGCGTCTAGTGAGACTGATGTAGTTGTTGACGCGCATGCGGGCAGCTCGTGGAGAGCAATATCGGGGAATTTGCCTCGCGGTGTTAAAAGTGATTGTTTCGATTCTACACCCGCCCCTGACGCCCCTGAGGTGGGTGTAATTGGCCCAGGTCGCGATGATTTAGTCGACGTTGCCGAGCCGCGGGCCGAGCCCGATGATGCTGGAGTTGAGATGACACATGTAGAGCGTCTCAAGCAGGGCGCAGTCTCCATCAAACATCTTCTCACTTACCTCCCAAAGAGCCCATGTTGTCACGCGTGCAAATGTCCGAGGCTCTGCGCTTGCAGCCTCGAACTATCCAGAACAAAAGGCTTCAGTTCCCCAGGCCGTGCTCTGACCACCTTGCTTCGGGCACCTTGCCACCGTGGATCACCTGGCTGCGGCGGGCGGGCTCTCGCAGGGTCTCCGCGGGGAATCTGTGCGCGCGCGTGGCGAATCGCGAGCGGTTCTAGAATTCATTGCTGCGCAGGGTGTTCATGACATGCTGGCTGTGCATGTCCATATTCTT